TTTCATCATCCACATTTTCACTTGTGTTTTGTCCTTTTTCATTTGGAATGCTGTGGAATGTCTTTGGCTCTGAGCTCACTTCAGACGTAAGTGGGCCGATGTTTCTGCGGTAGGCCAAAGCGCCCACACGGGGTGGCACATCCCCCCTGAGGATGGGCATTCTCAGGGTACCAGATGGTACGTGTCGTAAGGTCCTACTGACATTGGTATGTTTTACTGGTCAGTTTGTTGTGATGGGACTCTACTACAGTTCCTCAGCTTTACAAATATGATTTAGATTACGAGGGGTTTTCAGCAAGTTAGGATTTTCACTTTTGAGACTACTAGTAGTAAGGATCGGTTGGGGTGATGATTGCCGCTAAGGTTATGGTCAGCTGTTTGCTGCATTGAAACACGAGACTGGAGAATCAGGTGGCAAATTAGCCCTGATTGGGTCCTCCCGAGACTTCTTGCTGAACGGCATCATGGCCCTTGGTGGCTTTGGTGTGAACAAAATTGGCTACGTGAACCTGTCAACATTGGGTTCTGCACTGGTGGTACTGAGTTTGATGCTGGACAGCATCGTACCCAACACATCATGGCTCTTCTTGTCCTTCAGTCTCATCGGCGGCATAGGCAACGGGGTGCTCTGCATCCCATACTACTCCGTGCTCTTTAGCCAGATGAGTGGACCCATGCTGCCAGTTGCTGTAGGTTTTGCAGCTGCTGGAGGGGGGGTTGGCACCATTGTGTTCAACTCAACGCTGGAGCCTCTCCACCAGACCTTTGGCTGGCGCCATGCTCGGCAAATTTTGGCAGCAGCCTTGCTGGTGATTTTGACCCTGAACACCTTGGTGCTACGTTGCTGCACGCGACAAAAACAGGAGAGCCCGGATGACTCCGTGGAAGAGTCTAACTCCGCATCATCTGATACATCATCTGGCTCTCAGCCATCTCAGTTTCGGCTTGGTAGAGAGCTGGTTGAACTGGTTCGCCCATTCACGGCTCCAAGTTTTGGGCTTCTGAGCGTGGGTTTGGTCCTGTATATGTTCGGATTTACTGTGCCATATACTCATGTGGTCTACTACGCTGAACTTCAGGGGTACAAGAGAGCCGCAACGCTGGTATCAGTCATGGGCGCAGGGAGCACAGTTGGACGCATCGTTTGTGGCTTTGATGTGCTGTTGGCAGACATGTTGTGGAAGTTCGGGCTGGGAAATCCGAGTGACGGACCTGCCTCAAAGTTAGATTATTGAAAGTTGAAGTGGGATTGAAACATGTTACTTCTTAGTAAGGGAGAAACGGCTGACGCCGAGGCTTCAACATTGCAAGGTATCACAGGCTCATGGCTAGGCCAGGCTCAGAATGGCTTGCGAATTGAATTCTTCAGCGGATTGACCTTGTCCATGAACCCACACTCAACCCAAACATTATGCGGGGGTCGCCTGACTGGGTTGCTTCGTTGAAGCCACGTGCAGCCCCATGATGCCATGGCATTCCAAGGCGGCATTTGTGCTGCTGTCGTGTCTCCACGGCGCCTTTTCTTGCTGGTGATCCTCATCCAAGGACTAAGCCTGGCTTGGCTGCCCAGTTGCAGCACGGAGGCGGAGTTGATGGCCTTCTCGGCAGCTTGGACTATGGGCTGCAGCAACGCCTGCACGATCTTAATTTCTAAATTAACTAGGGCAACGACGTGTATTTACATGTATTTACTTATAATGACCACCAATGATGAATGGGCCTCATTCGGGCCGAACCCTTCAAGAATGATTATCATAATTGCAGGACTGCAGGACCTGATTACATAATATCTACCAGTAGTACCGCACAAGGCGGTGGCGGAAGTTTCAAAAATAGGAAACCTATAGGAGAGATTGGTTGTTGTGAATCAGGGATGGCAGAGCGAAGCCACTGATGGACCGAAAGGTGCTTGAGGTCTCCTCTCTTTCTCTCTCTTTCTCTGACTATCTATTTACCTACCAACCTATCTTCTATGTATCTATCTATCTATCGATCTATCTCTCTCTCTCTCTCTCATCTAATTCCTATCTATCTATCTATCTATCTATCTCAATATCTTTCTCTATCCATATATATATATATCTCTCTCTCTCTCTTTAATCTGTCTATCTGTCTATCTGTCTATCTGTCTGTCTATCTATCTATCTGTCTGTCTGTCTGTCTATCTGTCTACCTGTCTATCTGTGGTGCAGCGTCATTCAGTGTAATGTAGTGTAGTGGAGTGGAGTGTAGTGGAGTGTAGTGGAATGTAGTGTAGTGTAGTGTAATGTAGTGTAGTGTAATGTAGTGTAGTGTAGTGGAGTGTAGTTGCGTAGTCGTAGTTGTATTTGTAATGGAGTGTAGTGTAGTGTCATGTAGTGAAGTGTAGTGCAAGGTAGTGTAGTGTAATGTAGTGTAGTGTAGTGGAGCGTAGTGTAGTGTAATGTAGTGTAGCGTAATTTAGTGTAGTGGAGTGTGTAGTGGAGTGTAGTTGTGTAGTTGTAGTTATAGTGTTGTGTAATGTAGTGTAGTGGAGTGTAATTAGTGCAGTGTAGTGTAGTGAAGTGTACTGGAAGGTAGTGTAGTGTAGTGTAATGTAGTGTAGTGTAGTGGAGTGTAGTGTAATGTAGTGTAGTGTAGTGGAGTGTAGTGGAGTGTAGTGGAGTGTAGTGGAGTGTAGTTGTGTAGTTGTAGTTGTAGTGTTGTGTAATGTAGTGTAGTGGAGTGTAGTGTAGTGTACTGTAGTGTAATTTAGTGTAGTGAAGCGAAGCGAAGCGACATCTGAACCTCCAAAAGTGGTCCGAACCCCTGGTGTTTTTAACATTTTGACTTCGAAATGTGCTTCGCGCCACAATCGCGTGCACTTTTTCGACATCTGAACCTCCAAAAGTGCTCCGAGACCCAGGTGTTTTGCACCTTTTCACTTGGAAATGTGCTTCGCGCCACAACGGCGTGCACTTTTTCGACATCTCAACTTCCAAAAGTGCCCCGACACCCCCAGTTTTTAACACTTTTTACGTCCAAATGTGCTTCGCGCCACAACGGCGTGCACTTTTTCGTCATCTCAACTTCCAAAACTGCTCCGAACCCCTCAGTTTTTAACACATTTTACTTCCAAATGTGCTTCGCGCCACAACGCCATGCACTTTTTCAACATCTCAACTTCCAAAAGTGGTCCGAACCTGGTGTGTTTTGTACATTTTGACTTCGAAATGTGCTTCGCGCATCTTCGCGCCACAACGGCGTGCAACTTTTCATCTCTCATCTGGCCAGCTGGCTCCACACCCGCCGCTTTAGCGAGCCTACTTTTCGACTCTCCGGAGCCTCAAATCGTTCGAAAAACACCTTCGCGACTTTCCTACCTTTTCGCGCATCTGCATCTTCTTTCTTCTGACTCTTTCTCTTCTACTCTTTTCTCTTCTAATCTTTCTCTTCTCTCTGCCTCTGCCCTGCTCTGCTTTTCATATGTCAGTATTTTTGTTGGCAGCCAAAGAATGCCCTATGCTCTACCTGGGGCGCTGATTTCAGCTTCAGGTGATCTTTGGAGGTTCTTCAGGAGCCCGGGTGGCATTGCTGTCTCTGCTGGTCTGTGAACTCTATGGGGCCGAAAAGGTGCCGCATCTCTTTGGTTTGGCAGGCGGGAGATGATGGAGATGGAGATGATGGAGATGGGGATGGTGGGGAAAAGAGAATTTGGATGGCTAAGATATGCTAAGATATGAGTGACGGTCAAAAAGGTTGAAGACCACTGTAGTATTGCAGAAGCACTTTTGTCAGAGATGTGCGTGAAACACTGTAAAGCGATAGCGCCCCCCCAAAGGCGATCATGGCACAAAATACCGGAAAACCATATGCTCCCTCCAAAAAAATGCGACAACCGATAATAGCAACTACTGAAATGTAAAGCATTTTTGACGGAAGGTTATATGTTAAGATAACTAAGTTGGTTTATGATTCCACTAAGGTGTTTGTTGAAACATGTCTCTGTCTATATATTATGTACATACGTATATATATATATATATAATATATATATAATATATATATATAATATATATATATATATATATGTGTGTGTGTGTGTTATCCCTTTAGTTAATAGGCCCCCGGTTATAAAATGTGTCAAACTTGCAGCTGCGGTAGCACCACCTTGTGTCCCATGTTTTCCAGATGGGGTGGTGGTACTGGTGGCTTGGAAATGCCCAGCCAGATGCCGTTAGGCCTTGCCATTGGTGTTGGGACTCTCATTGGACCTACGCTGGTGGGCAGCATTTTCGATCGAAGTGGGAGCTATGCAACAGCTTTCTTGACGTCTGCATGTTTAGTCCTGGTATCCATTCCGTGCATGCTGGCATCATACTGGTATGCCGCACAACAGAGGGAAGTCAGCAAAGCTGACCTGGAAGAAGTTTGATTCAGACAAATAATTCATATTGATATTGCGTGATTTTAGCTGATGCGTGTCTGGTTGGTGGCTTTTCCATCCCTGGGATATCCTGGGATGCTGATCCCACTTGACCAATTCATCTTTGATTTTAAAGGAGAAGTTGGCAATGCCTGAATGTGGCTAAGTTATGCTAAGTTGGCATAGAGACTGCTCCCGGGGCTGACCAATGCCTTTGAGGGCTCTCAGCCAGGAATTAGAAGGGGCAGCCGCGACCTTTTGTTGGAACCGAACTTTTAAGAAGCCCTCGGGTCTCAACTGTCCTTCAATCCCGATAGTCTGAGCAGAAACTGCTCCTCCTTCTTTCGATGCTGGCAGGGATTTTGTACAGCAGTATAGCAGCATAGCATCCAAGTCAGACATGCCCTTCGGACCTGGTGTTTTGGGACAAGGGGGCAGAACCCTGGATGCCGAGGAAGTTTTGATTTTCATATGAAATACGACAAAAAATCGGTTCAGATTACATGTCTGCCTGGATACCTGTACATCTCTGACCTGACAGCAAAGATTCTGCAAATACTACGCTTGAAGCTCTTTGAGAGCTGTGACAGGAAAGACCGAGAGTGAAGATTTGTGCATTTGATCGATGTTGTGCAATTTCAAATTTCACAATATTGTTCCACTGGAACACGTTTTCTTACATGAGTTTCAAGTACATGTTGCAGCTGAGGCAGGGTGTTACATACCCACCTGCACATGTACATGACACTTACAGTTTCTTTTACAACATGCTGCTATTGATTGTGTGCAGTTCATGACATGTTACGTGTGGGCTCCGCATGCTTGAGCTAGCACAGTGAACAGTACAGCCCATTTGCTGAAGGCACAGGAGAATGAAAGCGGGTTTGAACAGTGATGGTGATGATGATGATGATGATGATGATGGTGATGGTGATGGCGAGGATGATGATGATGATGATGGTGATGATGATGATGATGCTGATGCTGATGCTGATGATGATGATGATGATGATGGTGATGGCGAGGATGATGATGATGATGATGATCATGATGCTGATGATGATGATGATGGTGAGGATGATCATGTTGATGATGATGATGACGATGGTGATGGTGAGGATGATGATGATGGTGATGATGATGATGGTGATGGTGAGGAGGATGATGAAGATGGTGATGATGATGGTGATGGTGATGGTGAGGATGATGATGATGATGATGGTGATGGTGAGGATGAGGATGATGATGATGATGATGATGATGATGTTGATGGCGAGGATGATGATGATGATGATGATGATGGTGATGGTGATGACGATGATGTCGTCAATGTCAACAGCAGCCACATGTCAAAAACACAATTACGAAGCATCAGTATCATCGTGCATTACCTTTATCATCCTCGTTTTCACTCGTGTTTTGTTCTTATTCGTTGTGCACGCAGTGCCCTCGGCTCTGAGACCAGTTCAGACGTAGGTGGGCCGACGTTTGTGCGGTAGATCAAAACACCCACACTTTTTTGGCTGGCACACGCCCCCTGAGGATGGGCATTCCCGTGGTACCAGATGGGACGTGTCGGAATGTCCTACTGACGTTCACCTGTTTTACAGGTCAATTTGTTGTGGTGGGGCTCTTCTATAGCTCCTCAGTTTTCCGAACAGATACTATAAATTACTAAGTAGTCCCAGTTCAACGTGTTGTGATTCTCATTTTGAGCGTTGATACTATGACTATAGTGAAGCGTTGCACGTTAAGGATTTGTTGGGGTGATAAGTGCTAAGGTTATGGCCAGCTGTTTGCTGCGTTGATTCACGAGACTGGAGAATCAGGCGGCAAATTAGCCCTGATTGGGTCCTCCCGAGACTTCTTGCTGAACGGCATCATGGCCCTTGGTGGCTTTGGTGTGAACAAAATTGGCTACGTGACTTTGTCAACATTGGGCTCTGCAATGGTCGTGCTAAGTTTGATCTTCGACAGCATCGTACCCAACACATCATGGCTCTTCTTGTCCTTCAGTCTCATCGGCGGCATAGGCAACGGGCTGCTCTGCATCCCGTACTTCACAGTGCTCTACAGCAAGATGAGTGGGCCCATGCTGCCAGTTGCCGTGGGTTTTGCAGCTGCTGGAGGGGGGATTGGCACCATTGTGTTCAACTTGATACTGGAACCTCTCCACCAGACCTTTGGCTGGCGCCATGCTCGGCAAATTCTGGCAGCAGCCTTGCTGGTGATTTTGACCCTGAACACCTTGGTGCTACGTTGCTGCACGCGTCAAAAACAGGAGAGCCCGGATGATTCAATGGAAGAGTCTAACTCCGCATCATCTGATACATCATCTGGCTCTCAGCCATCTCAGTTTCGGCTTGGTAGAGAGCTGGTTGAACTGGTTCGCCCATTCGCGGCTCCAAGTTTTGGGCTTCTGAGTGTGGGTTTGGTGCTGTATATGTGTGGATTTACTGTGCCATATACTCATGTGGTCTACTATGCTGAATTGCAGGGGTACAAGAAGGCCGCAACGCTGGTATCAGTCATGGGCGCAGGGAGCACGGTGGGTCGCATGCTTTGTAGCTTTGATGTGCTGTTGGCAGACATGTTGTGGAAGTTCGGGCTGGGGAATCCGAGTGATGGACCTAACTTTGAAGTGGGATTGAAATATATTTTTATATTGATTTTTTTTTGGGTCCCACATTGCGGACGCCAGGGCTTCAACATGGCAAGGTATCACAGGCCATGACCATGAGGCCCAGAATGGCTTAAGAATGGTTTTTTCAACGGATTGGTTTTGTCCATGAACCCAAAGATTGAAGGGTCGCCTGACTGGGTTGGTGGTATTCCAAGGCGGCATTTGTGCTGCTGTCGTGTCCCCACGGCTCCTTTTCTTGCTGGTGATATTCATCCAGGGACTGGGCCTGGCTTGGCTGCCCACTTGCAGTACGGAGGCGGAGTTGATGGCCTTCTCGGCAGCTTGGATTATGGGCTGCAGCAACGCCTTCACCAACTTAATTAACTAGGGTTATGACAATTTGTTTGGTAGAGACTGGGATGTTGAAAGTGAATGGTATTTTGCATTTTTTTGCGATAATGTTGCATGTCCGATTTGCATTTTTTTGCGAGAGATTTGATGTTTGGAGTAGATTTGCACTTTTCATTTGCTTGCATTGGATTTGCAGCAATGTTCTGCTGAATCGTGGAATCGCAATTTGTTTGCACTTTTTTGGCATTTTTTTTTTCGCATTTTTTTTTTGCAAATTTGCAATTTCCGGGCAGAAACTCTGGGAAAGCTGGAAAGGTACAAAAAACACTAGGACATTTGCAAAAAAATACTTTACTTCGTGTGATCCCCACCATGACATTTATACATTTGCTTATTGGCAAATCTTCTAGCATTCTACCTGACATATCTTCTGGCATTCTATCTGGCATATCTTCTGGCATTCTATCTGGCATTCTATCTGGCATATCTTCTGGCATTCTATCTGACATATCTTCTGGCATTCTATCTGGCATTCTATCTGGCATATCTTCTGGCATATCTATCTGGCAAATATTCTGGCATTCTATTCTGGCATATCTTCTGGCTATCTGGCATTCTATCTGGCATATATTCTGACATATCTTCTGGCATTCTATCTGGCATTCTATCTGGCATATCTTCTGGCATTCTATCTGGCCGTTGAGGTCCAGCGGTGCACACTGAGCTGGGCAGGTCCCAGGTTGAGGTCCAGCGGTGCACACTGAGCTGGGAAGGTCCCCGGTTGAGGTCCAGCGGTGCACACTGAGCTGGGCAGGTCCCAGGTTGAGGTCCAGCGGTGCACACTGAGCTGGGCAGGTCCCAGGTTGAGGTCCAGCGGTGCACACTGAGCTGGGAAGGTCCCAGGTTGAGGTCCAGCGGCGCACACTGAGCTGGGAAGTTGGCAAAGAGCTTGGCGAAGAGAGTTGGCAAAGAGCTTGGCGAAGAGTTGGCAAGGCGGAAGTGCAGGTGGAAGCTGATGCAGACATGGTCGAGGAGAAACTGGAGGAGGACGAGGAGGAGGAGGAGGAGGACAACTAGCCGAGGAGGAGGAGGAGAACAACTCTGACAAAATCTAACAACGCTCACCTGGCAGGCGGGGAAAAAATGCGAAGCAAATGCAACCAAAAAAAAGGAACAAAAAAAGCAACAAACAAAAGCAAAACAAGCGAAAAAGACAGTAAAACTCGAAAAAACAAGGATTTGCAAAAGAAAAATGCAAAAAAATGCAAAATGAACCCGCCGTACAAAAAAATGCACACCAAAGTTGCAAAGAAAAAACAACAACCAAAAACAAACCTTCCCCAATCCCTACCAGGGGCGCACTCTCATAAACCTAGGGTAATTTGAACCAATGATGATGAATGGGCATCATCCGGGCCTAACTCTTCAAGAATGATTATCATAATTGCAGGACAGGACCTGATTACATAATATTACATACAAGTATCTATCATTGTCTATCAGTCAGTATTTTTGTTGGCAGCCAAAGAATGCCCTATGCTCCACCTGGGGCGCTGATTTCAGCTTCAGGTGATCTTTGGAGGTTCTTCAGGAGCCCGGGTGGCATTGCTGTCTCTGCTGGTCTGTGAACTCTATGGGGCCGAAAAGGTGCCGCATCTCTTTGGTTTAGCAGGCGGGAGATGATGGAGATGATGGGGATGGTGGGGAAAAGAGAATTTGGATAACAAAGTTGGCTCATAAATTCCACTGTAGGCGGGCTCATGTTAGATAATGTTAAATATCTCTTTCGTGAATGTTTTGCCGGATTTATAATCCCTCCCCCCTAAGATTAAACATCCACCCCCTCCTAAATAGTAAAACCTAGGGGTAGTTTTTATTATTATAGGGGGTATTTAGATGTATTTAGGGTGCGAAACTGTCCCCCAATGTTAGATTTGAAACCGTTCTAAACAAAACAATTGATTTCAAAATCGACCAAATTTCATTTAAAATCCAATTTAAATATTGCCAAGAAGATCCAAAAAGTGGATTTCGAAGCTTTCCCCTTAGATTCAAACCTTCATAGAAAAAACTAACATGTTCGATATCAAAATCGATCAAATTCTGTTTAGAATTCAATTAATCAAAATATTGCCGAAAATTGGATTTCGAAGTTTTTCCCCTATTATTGAATTTTCAACCCGAATTAAAAACACATGTTTGATTTTAAAAGATGGACCCAAAGGAAAAACACCCCGGGGCCAACTAGTTTTGAATATTAAATGGGAAGAGCCTCCAAATTCGACAAAAACGAACAATCTTCGGTAGTTTTACTGTTTAGGGGACGTTTAATAGCAGGAAGAAAGGATTAACTGGGGTAGCATTACCTCGTGCCCCATGTTTTCCAGATGGGAGGCCTTGCTATTGGTGTCGGGAATCTTATTGGACCTACGCTGGTGGGCAGCATTTACGATCTAACTGGCAGCTATGGCACGGCTTTCTTGACGTCTGCATGTTTAGTCCTTGTATCCATTCCATGCATGCTGGCATCATACTGGGATGCCGCACGATATAGGGAAGTTAGCAAAGCTGACCTGGAAGAAGTTTGATTCAGATAATTCATATTGATATTGTGTGATTTTAGCGGATGCATGTCTGGTGGATGGCTTTCAAAATTGTTTGTTTTCCATCCCTACAGGCTTTTGGCCGGAGCAGTGGTTGACTTTGTAAAGTGTACGGGTTTTCTTCCCATGTGCTCCCGGCTACTGGAATTTGCCAACCTGTTTGCCCAAAGAATTTTGTTCCCCAAGACGTTGTGCAGCCTGATTACTATGGCTGGCAACTTTTGTCTCTTGGGATGGCGGGATCACATTTTCCAACCCAGCGAACAAACAACAACAGTTGCAGCATCCAGAAATGAATAAAAATGGTGATCCCACCCACCTGACTAATTCACCTTTTTAAGGGAGAAGGTGGCATGCAAGGCCTGAATGTGGCCAACTTGTATACAGGCTGTTCCTGGGGCTTACCAATGCCTTTGAGGGGCTTTTAAGCCAGGAATTAGAAGGGACAAAAGCGACCTTTTGTATCCTTTTGTTGGAACCACATGTTTAGTGTGCTTCAATCGCAAAAGTCTGAGCAGAAGCTGCTCCTGCTTCTTGCGATGCTGGCAAGGATTTTGTACAGCACTACAGAACCGTAGCATCCAAGTGTCCGCAATTGCCAAAAAAAGCCTTGCAGCCAAAGTCATAGTTTCGGCATACCATTCCATTGCCAATCACCTCCTGACAGTCCCTTTGGACCTGGTCCTTTTGGGACAAGGAGCCAAGGAAGTTTTAATATTTTTTGATTTTAATATGAAATATTGTATAGGATAAACAAACATCGCAAAAACTGGCAGACATACATGTTACATGTGTGTATTCTGGAAGCTGGAAAACGGTAGGCGTTTCTTCATTTTTTGTGGGATGGGGTGGGGTGGGACTTGCTCGTGTACTTGATGCTATGACGCTCTTGAGTTGCACTTGTGTTGTCATAGGGGTTCGGGTGGGGATGGGGTGGGATCGGGATGGGGTGGGGTGGGGGTGGGACAATGACGATCGCCTGTACTCGCACACATACTTGATGCTACGCTAGATGGTTTTTCTCTTACATGTCCACTTGTAGTTGATGCAATGAATGCTAGACGGTTTTTCTCTTGCACTTGCAAATGCAATTACTGGATGCTACGCTACGCTAGACGTTTTCTTTTTTTGCACTTGCACATGTACTTGAGGCTATGCTAGCCGCGAATTTCAGCGGACGGATAGGCTTCACGTGGCACCATCAGCGTTCATATACATAGAGGAATCGATGAAGCCTGGAAACATTCCACATCATTCCACAGAGTATCACGCATCGCAAGGATCGCAAGGATCGCAAAGCGGACTCCCCAGTTTGGCAATTGGCGCTGGGAGAACCAACACTTAGGAATCTTCGCGGCCTCACTGCACGAACTCTTGGTGCGATGTGAGAGAAAACGGGTGGCATTTGTATGCATTTGTAAATCAGACAAACGACCAAAATTTCTTGGCTTCTGGTCTTGTAGTGAAATGCAATCGGCCTTAAAAGCAATGCATCCAATCGAAGCCTTTTTTCTGACATCAAAACTATCATTACTACTGGAATTGACCACACTTGTATGACAAACCTGACAGCGGACCTTGCAATTTCATTGAAAAAAGTTTATGAAACACATACTCCTAGAAACTGGAATGATAAAAAATGGTCAAAACGTTCGCGCGCAGAACCAGCCTGCGGGATGTATAGTAATATTTACACTATATGACTCTATGTATCACGTTTGTAAGCGGTCATAAAGTGTAAGGTAAAGAAAGATGAACTTGTCCTCACCTAATACTTCCTCAGTGGTTCGACCTCACAATGGGTTGTTGAGATGTCAAATCCATGCTGAAACTGTCACATAATTACGGGGGCCCAAAGTGATCGGATTACCGCAATCGCGCAAGGCCGAGAGTATAACCAATGTTGTAGTCCAAATTGCATCGTGGGTTTAATTGGCTTTCTGGCTTTTCCGAGCGGCCATGTCCATGATCATCCCATGATCGTGATAGAAACACATCGAATGCGGTCCCACATTTGACAATCAATCATGCCGTGCCCTCATGCTGTCTGAATTACAAGAAAGTATGAAATTGTCATCTAATGGACTTCAGACACAGGCGTGCGCACATATAATCAGATAAAGTTCATTTTTGCATAAAGCATGTATGAGCTTGCACATGCATCAACATATGGACATACAGAGATGCATCAATCAACGCAAACACATTATGCTTGGTTGGAGGTTCCTCTGTGTCCTACGTTGAAGCAACTGAAGGGCATGCCTATACCGACATATCCCATACAACCGGGCAACATTGAAAGAATCAGCCAGCCAGCCGATGCGTGTTTTAAGATGTTTTAAGTTGCTGTTGTGTCTGCGCTTTCTACTTTCTTCAATGTTCCTCAGTGTTCATTCGTGATACCTCCTTTTCTCTTGGTTTGAGTAGATACAGACTATAAGTAATTATTCTAGAGGCTCTAGAGTCTTTGTTCCCAGGTAAATTATGGAGGGACAGCAGCAACTCCGCATGACGCTCAAACAAGTCCCCCCATCGACCACTGCAGGTTCGCGAGCTGCTTGGCTATGGCGAAGGGCACCCCCGATCCGTGTGAGGTCGGCTGCTTATCACTTTTGAACACACATTATCGGATTTACCAGCAACAAACATGGAGAAGCATGGGAAATTTGTGGGATCTTATTAAAAGACTAAAGTATATGTTTGCTTTCTATCTGCCAAATAAATTGGCATGCCATTCTAGTATTGTGTTCTCTCCGTTTTATTGCTTTTTCATTTTTTCAAAAATATTGGGAGGGGCTATACAGCCAAAAGACAAAGTCGTGCCTTTTTTAGAGAAATGACATGAAATGAATGTATTTAGTTGCGGCGAAGCTTTCCCTGGAAGCCGTGCCTTTTTGCAGAACACAAGCGGAAGCAAATGGAGTGACTTAGGCGTGACATTGTCGGGTCCCTGTACAGCATGGGATTTCGCAATAAGAAGCAATATTGGGATTTGACACCAAGTACTTTGTGGACAATGTTGTCGATTTGTTGAGGGCATAATAGGATAAACTAGGATTATTTGACTCCAGAATGTTTGACGACCACCACCACCATCATCATCCTCATCATCATGATGGCAGATTTTTGATGAACGCAGGTGGGTAGCCTGCCTATGTGGTCAGGGAGTGGAGTTCTAGTGGCCATTGGTACAGATGTTGTCAAGAATCATGTGGCACAAAGATCCCTTACAGATAGTTCTGCTGGTCACTGCTGGCACCGCTCAAACCTTAGAATCCCCAAAATCGTTTGGGCATAATTTTTTGGATTCCAAAAGGTGTTGAACTGGAGATGGTAGGAGCATTCCAAAAACTGTTATCAGACCAACCTGTTTGACGCGACCATTAGAATCGTTCACGGATGTTCTTGTGTGAAGGAGAGCCAGCCGGAAGGTTGAAAGATCACAAAAAGGGCCGGCTGTGTGAAAAAGAGGCTTTCACTGGGCGGTAACTCTTGTGGAGAGATTGCATCAACTGTCCCACAGCTCACAATCACTGCCTCGCTTGAAGAGATTGCAGGAGGAATGCTCTTGCCTGCATTGCCACTTTACATCCAGCCAACATGATTGGATTCTGCATGATTGATGTCCATGCGCATTTCATTTGAGTAGACGGGGCAAAATGAGCGACGCACGCGTTTCCGTACATGTATGCAACTGCTATTTGTCAAAACAGCTGTTTTTGTTTCCTTAGCCTATATAACACATACACAGAGATAGGAATAGATACATAATATACTTTAAGCATTTTTTCCCGAATGCGTATCGAAGGGTTCTTCTTGATTTTGGGGGTGTGGGGGTGGAGGTGTGTTCGCTTGAGGTTGCTTTTTTCCTTCCCAACCGTTTGCAAACGTTTGCCACCATTCGCAATGAGGACCATTGCTGCAAAGTTGTACCGTTGGCGTGTCATCATGTTTGTGAAAGTGGTTTGGTTTGACAGGCGCAATATTCTTGAAAGGTGTTCAGAAGATGATTTGTCATAGCAGGTGCAGCACTTTAGACGTGTGATGTTGCCGTGTTTTTGCGAATCGTATTGGCAGTGCTGGGTCAAGCTGTGTCAAAGTAGAAATATGGAGGCAGGCGTGCGACATGTCTTGAAAATTGACAGAAGCCTCGCACGAAACATCGATTTTGAGGTAGTATCTTGGGATTCGGGAGAACATTCGCAGGAATGCGTTGTTTTTTTCTACAACATGTGACAACTGGAGAATGTCTCGTACGAAATGCCTGTTTTGAGCCTCTACGCATGTTGCGTTTAGATTATCTTGTTCTGTTGTGGTGTGGCCATGCCTATAGGGGAAAGCTGATCCTGTCGATTTTTCAGGTTTCAAAAGAGGTTGTAGTCTTGCTTGGCAGGCGTGCACTTCGTGACATTTCGAGGTGCTTGCTAAAGTGTCGAAAGTCTTGTGTAATGTAAAATTACTTTGATAGGTCTTCTTCACAGACGACTTTCATTTTTCCATATTTTTCCGTGGCAGATGTCCATGTCCATTTTTCGTGGCAGGCGCAGCAGATGTGTGGTGTTGTCGTGTGGTTTTTGCCAGTCGCATTGGGAGTGATGCGTCAGGCGGTGATAATGCAACATTTTGTGGCAGGCTTGGTAATCGTGGTACATGGGTGAGACTGTCCTTTTTCGTGCCGAGCGCAGTGTTTGGTGGTTTGGTGCAGTTCTGTGGTGCATGGTATGTCACTTTTCGTGGCAATGTTTGATCTGCATCGGTACGTCTGCGCCAGGTGCGATCTTGTCTGGGTCTTTCGTGCCACTTTGCATGGCAGGCGCAGGATTTGGTGAGCCAGCGGGATGAAGAGAACTGCCTTTCAGCAGATTCCAGCAGCACTTGCCCCGGCTTGACTTTCCCCACTCAACATTCCATGATTCCATACCATACTTTCAACTCCTAAATTGTTGACGGCATAATGAGCTCCCCACTCTACACTCCACTCTTCACCTTCACACTCAACACTGACACTCCACACTTTGCGCTCCACACTTTATGCTGGACATCCTACACTCCTCACTACGCTCCACACTTTACACTGCAAGCTTCGCACCCCACACTCCAAACTCTAGAGTCTAGATTCCTCACTCCACACTTTAACACTCAACTCCTCACTCTACACTCCCCACTCCACACTTTACACTCCAGACTCCACACTCTACACTCCACACTTCGCACTCCACACTCTACACTCCACACTCCACACACTACACGCCACACTACGCTCAACACTCCGCACTCCACACTCTACACTCAACACGCTGCACTCCACACCCCACAGTCAACACTGGCATGGTAACAGAGAAGAAATTGCAAGACAGTTGTGCCAGTAACAACTTGCTTTGCACTTTTGTGTTGTGCATTCGGCTTCGTGGGTGGACATGATGTGGACAATTGTGGCCTGGAGATGGTGGATGCCATGGAGCCTCCTGTGGCGCTCCGTTGCGGCATCACCTTCCTTGAGGCCATTTTTCATGTGGCCAAGCTGGGAAAATGCGGCAGCAACAAACGGACTTGATCATTTTGGGAATTGGATATGATATGATATGATCAGACAGACTCAGACCCTCCATTCTTGGGGTTCAATGATCTTGAACCACACCAATATCATGAGTTGTGGTGAAATTTGGTGCCACATCTTGACAGCACCCTGCGGACCAGAATCATCCCAATCATCCACGCCGTGGCCATCGAGCAAGATTGGCTTGGACAAACATACAGTACGAAGAGTTCAAAACAACAACATGTCGATTGATTCATGATGATAGCGGGGTTCTACTATCCCATATGTTGGGGAAATTCCGTTTATGGTTTTGACATTTCTCAGTTGAACCCACTTGAGACATGTAAAACTATTCAATAGGGGGGCTCTAGTGACAGGCACGGGTTCGATGATGTTTGCAGTTGGCAGGTTGCTGCACGTCCAAAAAAGAACAATCACTATCATTATCATTATCATCGTCATCATCATCATCATCATCGTCATCATCATCATCATCATCATCGTCATCATCATCATCATCATCATCATCCTCATCCTCATCCTCAACCTCATCGCCATCCTCATCCTCATCCTCATCCTCATCCTCATCGTCATCATCATCATCATCATCATCATCCTCATCCTCCTCCTCCTCCTCCTCCTCATCCTCATCCTCATCCTCATCGTCATCATCATCATCATCATCATCGTCATCGTCATCGCCATCGCCATCCTCATCCTCATCCTCATCGTCATCATCAACATCATCATCATCGTCATCGTCATCGTCATCGTCATCCTCATCCTCATCCTCATCGTCATCGTCATCTTCATCATCATCATCATCATCATCGTCATCCTCATCCTCATCCTCATCCTCATCGTCACCGTCATCCTTATCCTCATCGTCATCGTCATCGTCATCGTTAACAGCATCATCATCATCATCATCATCATCGTCATCATCCTCATCCTCATCATCATCCTCATCATCCTCATTCTCATCCTCATCGTTATCATGATCATCATCGTCATCGTCATCATCATCATCATCATCCTCATCCTCAACGTCATCGGCATTATCATCAGCCTCCTCATTCTCATCGTCATGTCATCATCTTCATCATCATCATCGTCATCATCATCATCATCATCATCATCATCATCATCCTCTTCCTCATCCTCTTCGTCATCGTTATCATCATCAGCCTCCTCATCCTCAGCGTCATGTCGTCATCATCATCATCATCATCCTCATCGTCATCGTCCTTATCATCAGCCTCCTCATCGTCATGTCATCGTCATGTCATCGTCATGCTCATCGTCATGTCGTCATCATCCTCCTCCTCCTCATCATCATCATCATCATCGCCATCGTCATCGTCATCATCATTATCATCAGCCTCCTGACCGTCATAGCATCGTCATCATCATCGTCATCATATCATCACCATCATCATCATCATCATCATCATTGTCATCATCCTCCTCATCCTCAACGTCATTGTCATTATCATCAGCCTCCTCATCCTCATCGTCATGTCATCATCATCATCATCCTCCTCATCCTCAACGTCATCGTCATTATCATCAGCCTCCTCATCCTCATTTTCATGTCATCATCATCATCCTCCTCATCCTCCTCGTCATCCTCATTATCATCAGCCTTCTCATCCTCATCCTCTTCGTCATGTCATCATCATCATCATCATCACCATCATCCTCCTCATCCTCAACGTCGTCGTCATTATCATCAGCCTCCTCATCCTCATTGTCACTGTCATGTCATCATCATCGTCATCATCCTCCTCATCCTCATCCTCATCCTCATCGTCATCGTCATTATCATCGGCCTTCTCATCCTCATCGTCATGTCATCATCATCATCATAATCATCATCATCATCATCATCATCATCCTCGTCATCATCATCATCATCATCATCATCCTCCTCCTCCTCATCTTAGTCATCGTCATTATCATAAGCCTCCTCATCCTCATCGTCATGTCATCATCATCATCATCATAACATTATTTGCAGCTTCCTTTTCTTTGCATTTCGAATGCTGTGGAATGTTCTTGGCTCCGAGCTCACTTCAGACGTAAGTGGGCCGATGTGTCTGCGGTAGGCCAAAGCGCCCACACGGGGTGGCACACACCCCCTGAGGATGGGCATTCTCAGGGTACCAGATGGTACGTGTCGTAAGGTCCTACTGACATTGGTATGTTTTACTGGTCAGTTTGTTGTGATGGGACTCTACTACAGTTCCTCAGCTTTACACATATTTAGATCACGAGGCGTTTTCAGCAAGTTGGGATTTTCACTTTTGAGACTTAGTAGTAAGGATCGGTTGGGGTGATGAATGCCGCTAAGGTTATGGTCAGCTGTTTGCTGCACTGAAACACGAGACTGGAGAAGCCGGTGGCAAACTAGCCTTGATAGGTTCCTTCCGAGACCTCTTGCTAAATGGCATCATGGCCCTTGGTGGCTTTGGCGTGACAAAAATTGGCTACGTGAACCTGTCAACATTGGGTTCTGCATTGCTGGTACTGAGTTTGATGCTGGACAGCATCGTACCCAACACATCCTGCCTCTTCTTGTCCTTCAGTCTCACAGGCGGTATAGGTGGCGGTTTGCTCAGCATTCCGTACTTGACAGTGCTCTATAGCCAGATGAGTGGACCCATGCTGCCAGTTGCTGTAGGTTTTGCAGCTGCTGGAGGGGGGGTTGGCACCATTGTGTTCAACTTGATACTGGAACCTCTCCACCAGACCTTTGGCTGGCGCCATGCTCGGCAAATTCTGGCAGCAGCCTTGCTGGTGATTTTGACCCTGAACACCTTGGCACTACGATGCTGCACGCGACAAAAAAAGGAGAGCCCGGATGACTCAATGGAAGAGTCTAACTCCGCATCATCTGATACATCATCTGGCTCTCAGCCATCTCAGTTTCGGCTTGGTAGAGAGCTGGTTGAACTGGTTCGCCCGCTCGCCACTCCAAGTTTCTTGCTTCTGAGCATGGGCTTGGTGCTGTATATGTGTGGATTTACTGCGCCATATACTCATGTGGTCTACTACGCTGAGCTGCAGGGGTACGAGAATGCCGCCATGCTGGTATCAGTCGTGGGCGCGGGGAGCACGGTCGGCCGCATCCTTTGTAGCTTTGACGTGCTATTAGCAGACTTTTTGTGGAAGCTGGAATGCGGGAATATCCTAGTGACGGGCCTGCCTCAAGATCTCACAGTTAATTCTTTGAAGTGAAACATCTTTGCAGTAAAACATTACTGACAGATGCCGGGGTTTCAAAATTGCAAGGTCTCACAGGCTCATGGCTCATAAAGGCTCAGAATGGCTTGAACTTACGTATTTGATATGTATTGTATGGATTATGTGGCAAACCCCATAGTATACCGGGGGATGGTTTCACTCCCGTGCGTTCATGGTAAGTCATGGTTTGTGGCATTGAGTTTGCATCACTTATTTTATATTGTATTATCATGATTTATCATGTATTATCTCTGTTTGTTCCCCTGAACAATTGGAAATTCTCGGTATAGCCGGTATGGCGCTTCTCTGCTCATTCCAATTCATTGACATGTCAGGACCCCAATATGGAGGTACCGCCCCCCATCTCTCAGGATATTCTTGGGCCCTTGGGCCCCCCCCCCATGCAAGGCGGCATTAGTGCTGCCGTCGTGTCCCCACGGCGCCTTTTCCTGATGGTGATCCTCATCCAGGGACTGAGCCTGGCCTGGCTGCCCAGTTGTAGCACGGAGACGGAGCTGATTGCCTTCTCGGCCGCTCGGCGTTGACGACGTGGTCTTGGATGATGTGGGCATGGATCAAACTCAGTCAAAACCCTAGGAAATACCATATTTTGAGGGGATGAATGTTGATTTACTGCCAGTAGCAGCTTTTTTTTGGTGTTGGCAGGGTGGCAGGGCTTTGACTCATCCCCATGTTATTGCGTTCACTATGTTCACTGCTTCATTCAGAAGATATGGGAAAAGGGTCAAGAGCCGAGTCAAAAGGATTGGGGGCCTCAGTAGGGTCTGTCAAGGACTCGCAGTTATGGCCAACTGCAGGGTTGAACGTCCTTTTTGAAGATCACAGGGAGTCATTAAATGATTACCAAATACATCAAATACTACCAACAACCCATAACAACCCTTTTTATGGTATGATTCTTGTCTGAAACATTCTGAAACCAGGGGAGGACATGTGCCACTTTGAACTTGGTGCCAAGCGATGCCTTGGGCTCATGGACTCGTGACTGACCTTCTCAGCAGGTGGTCTTCGGTGGTTCTTCGGGAGCCCGCGTGGCGTTGGTGTCGCTGGTGTTGTGGGAACTCTATGGGGCGGAAAAGGTGCCCCACCTCTTTGGGTTGGCAGGCAGGAGAGGATGGGAGGAAGAGAGCTTGATTTTCTCCTGGTTAGCAGTTCGGAGCTTGGGGTATCCATGGGTATCCATATTCCCCGACTAAGTTGGGGAGCCAAAGAGGTACTAAGGAGTTTCCCAGCCATGTCATAGTTTGGCTTTATGGAGGGGTGGTTGGATCGATGGTTGCTTGAAATTGCTTGGAATCAGAAGACTGGACGCCCAGGACTTGCCATTGGTGTCGGGACTCTCATTGGACCTACGTTAGTCGGCAGCATTTACGATCTAACTGGCAGCTATGGCACGGCTTTCTTGACGTCTGCATGTTTAGTCCTTGTATCCATTCCGTGCATGCTGGCATCATACTGGTATGCCGCAGGACAGAGGGAAGTCAGGGAAGTCAGCAAAGTTGACTTCGCACAAGTTTGATTGATATTGCATAGATGCACGTTTGGATTCAATATTAGCTTGTTTCGACTAAGCGCTACCTGGGATGATGTTCCCTCTTGACTAATTAATTAATGCATTTCTCGATTTTTAAAGGCATAGCGGCATAAAGGCATGCAAGACCTGAATGTGCCATGGCATAGAGGCTGTTCCCGGGGCTGATCAATGCCTTTGAGGAATCACAGCCAGGAATTAGAAGGAGCAGTCGCGGCCTTTTGTTGCTCTCTATTGTGCTTCGATCAAAGCCTGAGCAGAATCTGCTCAAGCTTCTTTTGATGCTGGCAAGGATGTTGTTCAGCATGAATGGCATAGCATCCCTGTCAGCAACGTGCATTTGATAGAAAATCGCCTCGCAACCCACGGTTTCATTCTCAAGAAGCCCGGCACTTGATGTCACCAATCACCCTCCGAATTTCCTGCCGTGGACTCACACGGCTTTGTCCAGGCGAGCGGCAAACACACCGCGAATTGCTTGGTCCTTTTGGGACAAGGGGGCGGAACCCTGGATGGCAGGGAAGTTTGGTTCTAATACTGCAATGACCGACAAGACCTACAATGACATAGAATGACCTACAATGACAAACAATACATCATACACACATACATGCATACGTACATACATACATGCCCGCATAAAATTATATTATATTGCATTACACTACATTACATTTGAACATTTGCATTACATGTGCATTTCGTTTGCATTACATTTGCATTACATGTGCATTACTGCAATACATGTGCATTTCATTGCATTACATTGCGCTACATTTGATTTGCATTACATATGCATGACATTTGCATGACACTTGCATTAGATGCATTACATGCATTACATATGCCTTACATTTGCATAACATGTGCATTACATTTGCATTTGATTTGCATTACACGTGCATTACATTTGCATTACATTTGCATTACATCTGCATTACATTTGCATTACATTACGCTACATTTGAATACATTTGATTTGCATTACATATGCATGACATTTGCATGACACTTGCATTACATGCATTACATGCATTACATTTGCATGACACTTGCATTACATGCATTACATGCATTACATATGCCTTACATTTGCATAACATGTGCATTACATTTGCATTTGATTTGCATTACACGTGCATTACATTTGCATTACATTTGCATTACATCTGCATTACATTTGCATTACATTACGCTACATTTGAATACATTTGATTTGCATTACATATGCATGACATTTGCATGACACTTGCATTACATGCATTACATGCATTACATGCATTACATTTGCATGACACTTGCATTACATGCATTACATGCATTACATATGCCTTACATGTGCATTACATGTGCATTACATTTGCATTTGATTTGCATTACACGTGCATTACATCTGCATTACATTTGCATTGCATACATACCTGGTACCTGCGCCCCCTTCGCAGTTGGGTCCATTTCGGCAATTTTTTCAAGGAGCTGCTGCCGCCGTTCCGAAGACTCTGCGTTGAATCATGGGCAGCACAGAATCCGCACTGGGAGCCGCTTGGAAGATTTAATTTAATGGACTTATTTGAGGAACAAATGTGGCAGGAAAGCCCCATATTTTTCATGGGAAAATCCCATGGTTTGTTGAAGATTTTCCCTGAAACCAATCCATTGAAAGATGGTTTGAGATTTGCTGAACATTTGCTGAACATGTGGGAGTTTCCTGAAATGGGGATATCCATGGATATCCCAAAATGGATGGTTTATAATTTATAGTGGAGAAATTCCTACTAAAATGGATGTTTTAGGAGTACCACCATTTCAGGAATCCCCCATGTTATTATCCCTTTTGCCTACTTCACCATTTGGGAAATCTACTGGGAATATGTTTTAATATGTGTCATTCCAAATGGCATCCTTAAAGACATCCAAGTGATGATGTGAGCAGTTTCAAAAATCCAGGCGTTGGTTGAAGTTTTTTTTCCTCTTTTTTCGGGCTGTTCTACCCTTATTTACCCTTTACAAATACATGTTGGGATCTTGAATATCCATGAGCTGGGAAACCCAGGCCCCACTTGCATATACTTGCCTGTGGGCTTTCAAAAGAGAAGTTGGACAGGGTTGCTGCCAAATGTTTGCTATAAAGATCTATAAAAAGTATATGTAACAGATTTGAATGCCGTATGTACAATATATGGATGATTTTAGCGTCCCCGTTCTTTTGACCCCAACCAAAGTTTCGACCTGGAGGGAAGGATAACTAAGGATTGCCATTTTGGATCAGCGCAACGTTTTTGAGTACTTGTCTCCCTCAGATTTGCCCAGACTGTGGCCACAGATGTATGTCCCCTGGCAAGCGGATGCAGTCCGATTGGCACTCCTCGCAAAATATGGAGGTGTCTCTGGGCTGAGATGTTGAAGATTGCCCTTATGGATAAATCACAACTGGCAATGGAAAGAGACTGATTTGTAACTAGATGGTTTCCCCATCACAAATGGGAATTTTGTCATGTTTTGATGTTTTTTCCCCACCTGCCAGGTGAGGGTTGTTAGATTTTATGTCAGTTGCCTCCTCCTCCTTCTCCTCCTTCTCCTCCTCCTCTCCTCCTCCTCCTCGTCCTCCTTGTCATCCTTGTCGTCCTTGTCGTCCTCGTCGTCCTCGTCGTCCTCGTCGTCCTCGTCGTCCTTGCTCAACTGCGACCCGCGATCCACAGTGTTCTCTGCCGGACCTCAACCACGACCACCCACGCCCAGTGTTCTCTGCCGGACCTCAACCACGACCATCCACGCCCAGTGTTCCCTGCCGGACCTCAACCACGACCCCCGCCCAGTGTTCCTGCCGGACCTCAACCACGACCATCCACGCCCAGTGTTCCCTGCCGGACCTCAACCGCGAGTATCCACGCCAAGTGTTCCCTGCCGGACCTCATGTAGGAAGATAAAATGTCAGATAGAGCGCCAGAAGATTTGCCAGGTAGAATGCCAGAACATATGCCAGAAAATATGCCAGATAGATATGCCAGCCCTGATGGTGACATGCCACCCCTGAGCACCCTGCTCGAACACCACCCCGGAGCCCCACCCCCGGCATCACGCCTCCCTCTTCGACCTTGAGGGGGGCCCCGCGGCTCTGGATTTATAGCCACCCCACCCCAATAACTTACAAATTGCTGAGCGATAACCAGGACCAAGACGGTCCCAGTGCTGAGATGCTGGCAGAAAAAGGTGTGTGGAAAAAAAAAAATGTCAGAAGATATGTCAGATAGAATGCCAGAAGATATGCCAGAAGATATGCCAGATAGAATGCCAAATAGAATGTCAGAAGATATGCCAGATAGAATGCCAAATAGAATGTCAGAAGATATGTCAGATAGAATGCCAAATAGAATGTCAGAAGATATGTCAGATAGAATGCCAGAAGATATGCCAGATAGAATGCCAAATAGAATGTCAGAAGATATGTCAGATAGAATGCCAGAAGATATGCCAGAAGATATGCCAGATGAATGCCAAACAGAATGTCAGAAGATATGTCAGATAGAATGCCAGAAGATGTGCCAGTAAGAACATGTATAAATGTCATGGTGGGGATCACACGAAGTAAAGTAATTTTTTCAATTGTTCCATTTGTTGCGTGCCACTGCAGTCTTCCCACAGGCCTGTGGATAGATGCATCAACCATTTGCTTCCAGCCCTTCGATGACTGGTTCTATGGTCCCATCCTTTCTGAAGAACGCAGGGAAGACATTGCGGCCCCTTGGCCGCTTGTTGACGCCACTAGAGTGCCAGAAACAAAGGCGTTGGATTTTCGAAACCTGTATCATTTTGAATATGTTTCAATCCAGGATATTGACCTTAAATATCCTGGATTTTGATGCATGTGGACGGCAAATTTTGTATGTTCATGTATTCGCATGCCTTCGCAGCAGAATCTAATAATAAGGCTTGTTTTTTTTGACGTGTAGCTCATGTTGTTTTGCCAAACAACGGGAGAAGCAGTCAACACGGAGTTGAAACATCCAGGCATTCTATTTCTCCGCTTGGGGTTGTGAGATGCACAAGAGCAAGGACACGTCAAAGACCTGGGGTAAGGCAATGTACATTAAGGATGGTAAGAGGCGGATTTTGTTTTTAGCCGGTGCTCAACGGCTTCCTATGATAAGTTCTTTTATTAGTTTGTTTTACTTCTGGGTGGTTAGTGCCATTTAGTGCCCCATGGGCGATGGTGCCCTATTCTTGTACAAGACAGTTCTGAAACAGATCTTGCATTTTAAGATCGTTCATCCGCTGTTGTTTTTTTCTATCTTGACAGCCGGGCTTATGGATCGACACAGAAATGCAGGAATTTGTTGAGAATTGGGTCGTGGCTGCAAAACGTGAGCATCCGTTGATTTTGGCCTGGCAAGCGCTCTTCAATGGCTATTGGAACACGAAATCCAGGTGAGGGTCACAAATCACCTCGGGAAATCTTGGTACAAGAGTTTAGTGCTAGATTTCTTCATTTTAGGAGTCCATGTAGTTTGTCTTGTTCATTTTGGGATCCATGTAGTGGGACGTTTATGATATTTTAGGATTAGGCTTGTGCGATGTTTGACCACCATCCACATCAATCCGTCATTTTGGCAGGTCATTCCTGTTTTTGATTCATTTTTGCACAGCGTAGCCCCCAATTTTCTTTCTTTTTCATAGCAAAAAGGCACCTGATTTTGACCAGGGCTGATGCCTACTCCATGTTCTTGGACCCTCCTGGAGTCCCAGAACATCCGCTTTTTCGGGATGTGGACCTGAGCCACTTGAAGCTGGGCCGTTGGTTCATATCATAACGGGATCCCCAAGAAATAAGATATATAGCACCCCCGAAAAAGATGGAAAGATTGGACACCTGGAAATTAAGCGGGAACATATCATTTATACATATTTATACTAATTAATACTATCCTGGAAACATTTTTCCGTTTTTTTTTGGTTGCTATATATTATAAGTCCATATAAAGGGTAGATGAATGATCCCCAAAAATGAGCCACGAGTGGTAACATTGTTCATTTTGCAAAGATCCAGTCGTCTATCATATGTGATAGATCTGGGTAAATTATAACGATGTCACTGCGACCTCACTGGAAACATGGTTAGTAGTGGGAATTATCCCAATATACCCTTATTTCAGGTTAGTGAATCATTGGAATTTACCCAGATAGATTGATAGATTCGATGTGATCATAAAAAGGATGAATAGGCACAGGCTGATATCTATACATATAGTAATAGTAATAGTAATATATATATATATTGTTATTGTTATTATTGTTATTATTATATATATATACACATATGATCTATTTATTCATGTATGATTGCCGTCTCAAGTGTGGTGCAGTGGTGCATTTGGAACTCAGGAAACGCTTTGGCCAAGACCTGAGAAATTACCTGCTGATGCATGCGGCCTTCAAGAAGATGATCGTAGCTCAGCTGAAAAAGATTCTTGGGTGAGGCTCATTCTGTAGGGCTGAGCCACTGCAGCCATGATGCCCTGGCTTGAAATGTCCAGTTCTTCATAGTTCTTCTACAAAGATAGATAGATAAACAGGTAAAAAATAGATATAAATACGTATAGAATCATTAATATATAGATATATTGATTGCGGGCATATATATATATATTTTGCTGGTGCTAGTATATAATATATTTATATATATAAGTATATATATATATATGCGTGTATGCACACCACACTAATAATTGTTTCCAGTCCTTGACGCATTTGGGCCTTTCACAGGACCAATATCCTGAGTTCCGGCGGATTTGGGAAGAGGAGATGCTTCTCATCCGGGCAGATGACACTGCTTTCTGGCAGATGGAAGAGCCAGATGTGAAATGGGATCCCCAAGTCATTTGTCTGCAGACGGCAATTCCAAGTGGCAGGCAATCCACGCATGGTCATGACAATCCACGATTTGTAGATGATCTATGATGATATATGATGATATAATATACCTATCGCCAAAATGAGAATTTCCCCTTGCCATCTTTGATGATCAGTATAATGGGGATCTTTTTTCAGCCCCCACGAAGGTGACCCATCACTTGACGTGGGCAGCCAGGCCGCGATGCGAAAGTGGCGCGGCAAGACAGACAACTCTTGGTTGGCAGCTTGCGCTGAATCTCTTTTTTGGGACACACACACACAGAGCGTTTATAGTTTGGTGGATTTTGATGGCATGAACTGAGTTCCCCAATTTTTTGGGTTTGTTGTTGTTTGAAATAGCCTTCCTATCCAATGCATCTTTTGTGAGCAAATGCCTTTGACAAGATCATGCCCACCCCTAGAAATCCCAGTTTTACTCCCGACAGAGTGCTCCAGTAGAAATGCGAGTCAAGGAATACGTCAAGAAGTCGTGTCCAGAAACTTGACTGCAGTGCCCATCTATACCAGAAGTTATCGGATCATTCCCACAATCAAAGAGGCCCCCCACCCCCCCAGCCATGAAATTTGGAGTGATGAGCGGCTTTATGTTGCATGGTTTTCCGAAGTATTCATGCTAGTGGGCTGGACTGCGTGTTCAAGTCCAAGAACTGTTGTTCTCATTGTCGATGTGTGTTGCTTCTCAGGTATTGAAATTTACCAGAGATACGGTGCCGAAGCAGCACTTCTGCCAGGGGATTGATCCAGAACTCTGTTCTTCAATGAATGTCAGAGGCAGAGGCAACTGATTTGGATTGATTTGGATGGCCCCAAACTTGTTAATTACTGATCTGATGTAATGATTGCAGGACTATTCAGCTAGGTATGGCGATGGGTCAATACTGACAGAACCATCAGGGGAATGAACTGCCGTCAAACACGGCGATTTTGACCAGGACCATCCAGATGTTGGAAGATGAGATGAAGGATGCCTAGGTCTAGTATTCCAGGCAGGTTTCCCAGGGCTACATTGCCAGAGGCGCAGCTGCTTGACGAACTCTCACGAGAAGACTGCTTGCAGGCAGGCCATCCGGCAGACTGCAAGGTTTGATTCCAGTGTTTTTGGCTGGGGGTGCAGCTGTTGCTATCATAACATAGCATTACAACAGCAGATGCCTCCCAACCAGCAGTTCTCCATAGTTCTCCTGAATCGCCCTGGCAGGTGTTCAAGTAAAATGATGTAAAATGCAATGGGTTTTTCCACGGAACAACTTGTGTTGGCAGGCAGGAACTTGCTTGGGAGATGCTTTGCGAGTGGCTCTCCGTGCCTCAAGGCAGTGAGCCGAAGGCCTGATTGGAAGGGCAGACAGCCATGGACCCATTGGTCATTGTGGACATTGGGGCAGAGTAGGGCACCACCCTCTAGTGCCTTCAAAATATCGAACAATATGGCTATCTATTTATATGTTCGATATTTTTCCATCAATTCCTTAACTGACAGGAGTGCTGGACACTGACCAACTTCAAGGCATGGGCCGCGATGATGGGAGCCAGCAAGGCTAAATGATGAGTTTCAACCGAGGGCACATGGATAGCCAGGATCAGGGCTATGGGCCACTGCTTCTTATCATTCGGGGAAATATGGGGAAATCACCAGAATCAAGCTCAACCTACAGGTGTTCCTGAACGAGAATGGCTTGCTTCGCAAGGGCAGAAGAGTCGGATAGAGTTGAGGAGCTTCCACTCTCAGCTGCTGTTCCAGAGCTCAGCGGAGCGCAATACTCGCAAGTGGCCAATGGTGGAAAAAATGGATAAACGAGATCGCAGGCTGCTTTAGTCGTTGATCACTTCTTGGAGTGATGGCCCAGTGATGGCGGATTCTAGCGAACGATCACTTTGTAATTAGTTGGATGATGTCGGATCAATTTTGACCAAGATGACATGAGAATAATATGATCGAGAATAATTATATCCCATAGGATCCATGGTGCTGCTATATATGGTAACATGGATCCCATCAATATACCCCCTTTATGTTAGCATATATACCAGCACCATGGATCCTATGGGTATGAAAATAGAATATGTATGAGCTGATCGGCCCTTGGCTCCAGTCCATCGACCGTTGGATGTAGGGGATCACCCGTTCACCAACGGATGTGCTGAGCTCAGCGACCATGACCAACTTCAGTTTCATCATGGCTGAAGAGATCAGGACATTTCAGGAAAGTCAAGGAAAGTCATGGAAAGTCGTAGTATGTCTTGATATGTCTTGATGATATGGCTGCATCATGCTGCGTCCTTAGATCATCCTAGGATCTTGGGTCATTGAGGTTGGCCTTTCCATCCGATTTATTGTAGACGCCTGCGAGCTGGGAGCTCAGCCACCTGTTGCAGCGCCTTTTTTGTGTGGATTACGGGACAACAGGACCATAACTATCAGAATACTGCAGACATAAAATTTAAAAAGCAAGACTAATTGGGATTAGTATGGAATAGGATAATATATATATATATAGCATATTTGCCCATTGATGCTTCAATATGCTCAATGATATTCAGATTTTTTTTGCAGCGACCCGCCAGGTTGGTCCGATGTTTGCAATTCGTGTGGTATTATGCCTTGTTTTGACCTCCGCTACACATTTGAGAGGCCAGGTGATGTTTTGAATTCATGCTCGTCATTTGTGAAGGAACCATTCCGTTTCGGTCGAGAAAACCCCTGGGAAAGGGATGGAAAGGGAAACCTTGGGAAACCAATGTTTTTCTAAATGTTGTTCTTTTTTGGAGCCCTTCACGTGTTACGCTCTGAGATAATGCCAGGCGTCCATCCCACATTTCTGCAGTTGGGCGACGAAAATGATCCCCAGGGCGTTTTCCATTTTGGTGCCCGGGGAAAAAATAGATTGACCGCGGATGAAATCAATCAGACCCTTCGAGAGCACATGGATTTCCAGGCTCAGAAAGACGCTGGTGAGACTGATGCAGTGGTGGTGGAGCAAACCTTTGATACCTTGGACACCAATTATGATGACAGCCTTTCCAGAGCCGAATTTTTAGCTGGTGCCTTGCGCAGCAACCCTTCCAGTCGAGATTCTTTGGTGGATATTTTCACCAGCATTGACAAGGATGCGGATGGTGAGATCTCGCGCAGTGAATTCATCACCGCAGCCAAGGGGTCCCAACAGATGCTGGGTTTGAACCCCGGTTTTCGCTTGGCAGATGCTGATGCGGACGGTTTCCTGTCCATGGAGGAGTTCTTCTTCATCGCCCGGCAGTTCTATCCACTGGAATGGCAGACCAGTGAGGTACAGGGGGCAAACAACAAGTTAATTAGAAAAATCCGAGAAAACGATCTCTACAAAAAAATAAAAGATGTTAAACTTTGTGAAACTTCAGCTTGTAGATCATCAAAGCCAGCTGTGGCGATCCTTTTCCCTGAGGCCTTGATCCCACTCTTCCATTTGTTAGACACCGACTCCGATGGCCGGCTGTCAAGGACTGAGTTCCTGAAGCAAGCGGACGGTGGGCCCGTCCTGGCACGACCTGAGTCCCTGGACGCAGTGAAGGTGAAGGGTCAGTCACCGCGTCCGGCAAAGGTCAAGGTGAAAAGGATGGCAGAAAATGGCAAGAAGTCTGAGAAGGCTGAGAAGGCTTCCGACTTGAAGTCTGAAAGCGAGACTCAGGAAGAGAAGCCTGAGGATTCTGACAATGAGAAGTCAAAGAAGTCTGAAAGTGTGAAATCCGAAGACACAGAGTTGGAAAAGTCCGACAGCGAGACTTCCAAAGGTGAGTCTGAGTCCAAGTCTGAAAAGTCTGAGGACAAAGATGACAAAGGGCAAGTGTCCAAGCCAGGCTCCCTGAAAGACATGGCCCAGGACATCGCCCGCCAAACAGCCCAGGCGGTGCGCGAGGTGATCCGCCAGGAGATGGGCAGTTCCCCAGTGAATTCCGCGGCCAAGGCAGCGATGGACGCGGCGAAATCCGCGGGTTTGCCGAAGGACCGGGTGGCCGCTGCGGCTGCAGAGGCTGCGGGCCGGGAGGCGGCAGAGGAGGCGGCCTCAGTGGAGACCTCGCCCAAAAAGGTGGGGGCCATAGCAGCCACGGCCACGTTGAAAGCTGCATTGGAGACTGGAATGACCCGGGCGCAAGCAGCACTGAAGTCGGCGGAAACAGCCAGCAAAGCTGCAGCTGATAAAGCCTTGGCGGCGTCCAGCAACGTCCAAGATGCAGCCAAAGTTGCCGCACATGTGGCCTTTCAAGCTGCTGTGGCAGCTGGACTGAGCTACTCTGAGGCAGCTCAAGCTGCAGCCGCAGCTGCTGGTCATGTCATTGCAGCTCACCCCAGTGGCTTGAAGAACGATATCACAGCTGCTGCCAAGGCGGCTCAGCAGGGCGTCAAGGACCTGGGCATGTCCACAAGGTGGTGGTGAAAGCCGCCACAGCCGCTGTTGGTTCAGCAGCCGCTGAGGAGGCCCTGGCTGCCGGGAAGCAGCCCAAGGAGGCAGCAGGTGCTGTGGCCAAGGCAGTTTTCTCTTTTTCTGTGAAAAATGGCTTGAAGGCTGAGGAAGCGGTGTCTCAAAGTACTGTTGCAGCTGCTGAGGCCGCATTGCAGGTAGCAATCGCCTCGGGCAAGCAGACACAGGAAGTGGTGGACACTGCAGTTGAAACGGCAGAAGAGACCTTGACAGACTTGGGCAACAGCACTCCCACCAAGAAGGTGGACAATGCGGTGGAAGCCACCCGTGAGGTTGCCATTTCAAACCCCAAGTTGTCCAACTTGACCGCCAGGCAGAAGCTGTCCGTCATGGCGGAGGAAGCAGCAACTGTGGCTGTCGAATCCAAAACAGGGAAAGATGCCGGAGACGTAGCAGCCTTAGCCGCCAATGCCACCCTCCAAGCCGCAGCAGAGCTCGGCTTGAAGAGCTATGAGGCCGTATCCAGCTTAGCCATTGCTGCCGGTTCAGCTGCGAGTCGAGCTGGTGAAAATCGTTTTGAAAGCATTGATGAAATGGCAGATGCTGCAGTGGCTGCAGTGAGGAAAGTGACTGTAGGTAGGTGGTCTCCAAAAGAAATCATGCAAGCTGCCACATTGGCTGCTGGGATGGCAGTGGCAACCAGCGCCATTGACACTGGAAAGTCCCTTGAGGACACCTGGAAGAATCTGGCCGAAGCAATTTCAGCATGCTGTTGAATTCTTTTTCCTCAACCTCTTGTGTTGGTTCCTCGCGCTTAACCAAAATCATACCAAACACGTCCAAACACACCAACCTTTGGTTGTTTCATCTTATTTCAGAATTACTTAATAACTTTTAACTTTAATACAATATTTGATCTTTGGACATCATTAGGTATCATTCGTTTCTGATTTGTTCTCCGGATATTCATCAATTTCTCATTCATTTTTTATCACCAGTTTTCATCAATTTATCCAGGTTCATCAATTTTCATCATTCTCTGTACGCATCTTTCAGATCATTCATGTTCATCCATTTTTGATCCCTTTTTCATCCAGTTTATCATAGTTTATCCAAAAAATTTAAAACATTATCAATCTTACCATATCATCTACCCTCTGGTAATTTAACATAGCTATTGAACATGACCATTTATAGTGGATTTTCCCATTGAAAATGGTGATTTTCTATGGCTATGTTAAATAACCAGATGGTACCAATTTTTCCATTTTTTTAAAAAAGATTTTCAGAAACCTCCCGGCCAAGGAGCGCCGTGCAGCACGCCATGGCGGTGGCTTCGCAGGCGCAGCTCAGCGCCCTGGATGCGGCCAAAGCCTCGGCGATGGCAGCGGCCTTCGCCGTGAGCCGGGCTTCGCCGCAGCTGGAGGGGGCAAAGCTGGTGGAAGCGGCCAAGGATGGGAAAATCGGTGCTGGGAAGGATGGGAAATATGATGAAAATATGATGAAATATTGTTGTTGGATGAAATTACTGGTTTTTGGATGTTTTTGGATGGGAAGGATGGGAATGGATGTGGGAATATGGATGGGAATGGATGGGAATATATTGTTTTTTTTTTTTAAACTGTGAGAGCCTTTAGAGGGAAAGGAGGCGACAGCAATGAGAGGAAGAACTTGCGGAATTACAATCACCTACTCGTACAAATGAAACATCGGGATTTCACCATGACAATCTGGGAAACATCGAGACTTTATTCTTCTATTTCTTCTACAGTCTATAGTTTGTACCAAAATAGGGGATATGCCAATAAATGGCAAGTTTCATATTATAGAAAATGAGGTTTCAATCCATGGGACTTCGTGATGGCATTTTTTTTGGTTGGACTCGATAGATTTCTGGGGTGTTTGTTTTTGTTTGTTTTAGGACAGTTGCTGTATGTGAAGTGGCTCAGTTGCTGTCATAAGTCACAAGTCATAAGCCCTCAATTGATGGAACCCCAAACTGAACAAATTCAAAACCAAGCCTTAAACTGGGGTTTGTTTCTTACGAGGAGCAGGGAATTAGTGGCATCGCATCAATAGGATGTGGATATTGTAAGGGGGTACGGACGCTGCCTTCCACAACTGCGAAGGAGGTAGCTGCAGAGGCAGCCAAAGCCTCTGGCGCCAGTTCAGAGCAGCTTGCAGATTTGTCACAGTCAGCTGCCACGGAAGTTGGCTACTTGAAGATCCCCATTGCAGCGCGACAGGCGGCCGGCATTGCTTCCAAGCACGCCACTGGTGGCGGCAAGATGAGTCGAGAAAAGGCCGTGGGAGACTTGTGACTGCCACATTCTGAACTATTGTCGCATATTTTCACAATTTGCTCATGTACTTCATGCTATTCTGCGATGCCAAACAGGCTGTAGGGCAACATTCTGCTCAAATCATAAGCTTAATACATCTTGATACAAATAATATGCATAAAAGATCATAAAAGCACACGTCCCTAGTCAGGATTACAGTCTTAATACTAGATGTACGCAGATTCAGATATAGCATGATATAGCAATTAATCCATACTGATAATATTACTTTTACCCCTATATGCACTGAAAGTTGTCCATAGACCAATCAACCCTGTTGTTTTTGTTCGCTGAGGAGAGATCTCCATTGTGGCCCAGCTGGCGGGCCGCGCCGCCCAACTGGCTGGGATGAGTTCGGAGGAGACGGCGGTGGTCATGGGCCTCGAAGTGGCGGAGGCGCTGCCGAAGTTCGATGCCCACGACGGGCCGCAGCCCATGGCGGAGGATGCCACCTTAGCCGCGCTGGCTGCGGCCAGGACCTTGGGCTTGACGTTGAAGCAACTGGAAGCGGTGACGATGCATGCTGCAGCCGGGGGAGCGATCACTGCTGGACAGATCTTCTTTTTGAATGTGAAAGAGATTGCGCAGCTGGCGGTGCATGCGGTGTTGGCCACCAGCAAAGGCTTGGCCGAGGAGGACTGGAAGTCCTGTGGAGCGTGTGATTAGCTTCAAACTGTTGCTCAAGGCTCAAGGTAAGGCAAAGATAGGGTCAGAATCTACGTCACAAGTTTCGACATAGGTCCTCACCTCACCTCACCTCACCTCACCTCACCTCACCTCACTTGAAGTGTCATTGCTGTACAGCCGATTTATTCAAGGCCAGTTGTTTGAGTTTTTATTTTGGACTGTGTCGCTGACTAAGAATCAGAGATGGAGCATGTTGCTCTTGCCAATGTCCTGAATTAAAAGCGTCTTACCCAGGGTCCTACCTTTGTAGGTGCTGCCGTGTTGCCATGTCCCCATCATCGAAATTGAAACTTGCACTTTGACACTTGCCTGCTTCATATTCAGTTGAATCAGTTTCTCCGCTCATGTGCGTTTGATTTCTTATAAAAACACCATGACCTTCCTTTGGCTTTCCGAAGATCAACCTATAGTTCTCGGGCTGTATTTCCAACCCCAGTTGCCATTCAATGGTATGAATTTCCAGTTCTCGCCCCACAAATTTGAACGCCAAAATAGTTGCTTGATGTTGCTTGCTCATGGATGTTCATATATCCTCAACCATGGCATTGTAATTAGCATTTATTCCCCAATTTATGTCGGAAAAGTCGGGAAACAATGGGACTTTATCCATCCCCAAACCGCACATTTTGATTGGTCAATTACCATGGGTTTGATTATCACCTGATTAAACCTCTATTCTTGATCCTTACACTGTTAAATCCAAATGTTTGATGGTCAAATCTGCATTTCTTCTTGTTCAAAATGGTAGTGCTCGAATTAAAAAAAAAACAACCTCTATTTTTGAATGCTAAATCAGTAAATCATAGTAAACCATAGTAAATCCCATTTTTCTTCCCATTTCGAATGGTAAATCCCAGGTGAATCCTATACTTTACCCTCCCGTTCGCCACAGGACGCGGCCACCTTAGCCGCCGAGGCTGCCGGCTGCGCCGCGGCCGAGGCCGCTGCACAGGCGGGCGCCAGCAAGGCGCGAGTCCAAAAGGCGGCGGCCGCGGCGGCGCAACGGGCGGCTGCTGCCATGCAGCTGACGCCGGTGATGGCGACGCGGTATGAAGTTGGGAGTCTATCATGAAAAGCTCATGAGAAGATCCATTGATAGGGTGATTTTGATATTGATGTCCCAAGATTGTTCCATGTTTTTTTCCTATGATTTCCCATTCTTGTCCATGATTTCCAATGATTTCCCAATGATTTTTCTTTGATTTCCAATGATTTCTCTTGATTTTCCATAGCTATGTTACCAGAGGGTAATCACCCAAACATGACACTGTAAGAATCAAACAAGAGGATTTAGATATCGCCATCCAACATGTGGATTCAACCATCCAGAACTGGAATTTTTTCACCACCAGAAATTGGGTGTGGTAGTTGTCAAAACCATGGCAATAGGATCTACCTACATATGTTTTTGCCCAGAGAGAACGTGCTGGGCTGGCTGTTGGGGCAAACCCTCTGAGAAGCCCCGGCAAAAAAAATATGTTTTTGTTCGGGATGTCTGTTTTTTGAGGGTGTCTGCTGACAATAAATGGACTTCCATTTTGCTTCATCATGCATCATTTGTTTTAAGGGAGAAAGCGGGCCTCTGTGGTGATTTTGTTTGATTTTTAAATTGATAGGTGCGAATGTTATTTACATGCATGATTGGTTCAAAATCTCCGTATATTGCCATGAAGTCAGTTGAACATTTGATAGACTCTGATAAGTGTCGTGCAGTCGTGCATGTACGTTTTTTCCGTGATTTTCTGGCCTTAGAAGTTAAACTTTTATGGTCAATTTCACCCTTCAAGACACAACATCGTATTTTGGATGCTATAAATAAACATATCTATAAATGACGATGATATGACGATGTCCTTTCACTACAAGGACCTTCCACAAGACATTCGTGGCCAGGCAGCTCGTTTAGCCGCACTCTCTGCTGGCCGGGCAGCTGGGCGCAGCAGAGCCACTGAAAAGGCCAGCAGCGAAGAGATACGGCGCAGCGCAGCGGAAGCGGCAGCAGCTGGGCATCGATCCATGGGTGATCCTTGAGCTCTCCCATGGGCTCCATAGATTAGGCTTCAATATGGCTTCAATAAATGATGGTTTCATAGTGATATGGTTCAATACGCTATTCTAACTATCTTGAAATCGGGAGATAGTTCTAAATACTTATTAAATAGTGATATAGTCTATAGTCATGCTTAGTTATGATGATATCTTACGTCAGGTATACATTATACAATATTATACATATATTATACACACACATATATATATATATATAAATATATATATATATCTATGTGCATTGCATTTATGCATATTATATATACAGTATAGCCAAGAGATCGTGTCCTGTTCACCAGGGCACCTGTGGCACCGTGGCGCCCAGGTCGCCATCGGCAAAGCCTTGGAGCTGCCCTCCGTGGACCTGGTGGCCGCCGAGGCGGCGCAGGTCTCCGCGGCCGAAGCGGCGGCCTATGCGGCGCGAGGTTCCACGGCTTGGGGATGTCATGGGGATTCCACGGGTTGGGGATGTCATGGGGATGTCATAAGGGGGTTACCATGGGTTACCTTCTGGTTATGACTAACATAGCTATTGAAAATGGCCATAGAAATAGTGGATTTTCCCATTAAACATGGTGATTTTCCATAGTTATGTTAGTTTACCGCAGGGTACCCATCCGTAAGCGAGCTAGTGGGAAAATGATCTGCAAATCGTCTTTTTTCCAGCTATGTTTAGTTACTGAAGGGTGCTGGAAACATGGATAATGTTCATTTTGTTTGCGTTCAGGGTTGTTAAGCAAGAATAGTTGGCTGGGATATGTGAAAAGGATTCCTCCAAGACTTGAGGACCTCTCAAAGTCATTAGCTTGCTCACAAGACCATGCAGTAAGTAGAGTAGATGAGGGTGAGGCGCCTCCTAGTTCATGACACTATTAGACTATAGAGAGAGGAGTGCAAAGTGTCGAGCACATGCCGATGCATCCTAAAATGTCCTCAAAGATTTGAAGCAAAGATGTGTAGAAAGCAATCCTTGCTTTCACTGCATTGGATTATTATGTATTGGTTTCGTCTGCAGCCCTATCATAGCTCTCACTGACTACATACTACATAGTATGATGTTTTTTTTTTGGATCGGTTGACGGCACAAGCCAGTCTTCAATTTTTTGAATAAAAATCCTGGCCGTAAGTTGGAGAGGCAAGAAGAAACCACCGCCCATGCCAGAGCCGAAGAAGGATTTTCGTAGCTCGAATGCATTGAGTTGGAAGGCTGTGGCCGATGGCCAAGAATTATTGGTCAATGGCTTTTTGTGGCCCTCGGCATCAACCCCTCCAACCTTGCATGTTCAAGTCGGTGTCGATTTGATGGTTCCAACCAGCAAAAAAACAAGCAGCAACAACAGCTTGACATGTTTTGAATGGGCTCGATATATGTTTCAGGTATTTGGTATGTGTGGCTTTCCTTCAGCATGGGATAGTGGTGCTCACCACACTTCGCGCTCCTGCAGGCAATCTCGATGCCGACAACGACGGATTGGTCACTGCCGGAGAATTGGGCAAATGGGAGCCCGAGAATGACTTTGTTGAGATCCTTGGCATTTGCCATCAAGAGTCATGGTTTTGTGCTGGTATCATCTGGTATCATCTGGTATCAAAGGTTAGGATTAATTATGACAATTCAGGGAGAGAGAGTGTTATACTTATAGTTATACCATAATGATCATGGTGGTGATGATGAGTCTTACATAGTCTTACTATGTCTTACTATATTATTTAATATCATGGTATCGTATGGTATCGTATCATTATGTATCATTTGGTGTGTGCGCAGCAGGCCATTATCCTGGGCCCTTTTCGACCGTCCTAAGGATGGAGAAGAATGGGGATAGCGAGATCACGATGCAGGAGTTTCAGAAGCCTGGAAAAATGCTCATTGGAGTTTTTATTTTGACAAAATTAGCCTGGCTGGTCATTTGGAGGATCTACTGCTACCTGGTAGTATTTTTAGTATCTAAAATTTGGTAAATGCTGCCCACCCCTTACACCACTCCGAGGAAATGGAATCCGCAACATGCGAAGGTTGTGAAGAAGGAACCCGCCGAGAGCGGCGCAGGTACTGCTACGGATCCTGTCATCGTCCTGGCACAGGAGAAGACGTTGAACACGTTTGATTTGCCCCATGCCTGGGATTCCACGAGAAGGGACCCACTACTTGGCAGATCATCCTGGTTAACCGTGGTTATATAGTAAGTCCCCTAAGTCCGCGATTCGTGGGGTATCCCAGAAGTAAACTGGGTTACCCGGTTACCCTCGATGTACGGTGCAAGGGTTGAAACTGCTTTGTGCAAGGGCTCAATTGCCTTTTGACGAGAGGCTATTTGGCATGTCTGCATTGAGGTTGGACACCGACCACGACAACAAGATCAGTCCTCATCTCAGGACAAAACTTGTTCGATGATGCCTGATGGTGGTTCAATATCATTAAGCAATAGATGAAATAGTGATAGTTGTCGCGCCACCATTGGTTGAGCAGTGTTGATGCTGGCCAAACAATCACCACTGAGGTCCGCGAGAGCTTATAGCCGGGAGACATGTGGATACCTTTAGCCTGTTGGACACGACACCTGGCACAAGTCAGCGAAACATAGAGCTTTTTGGGATAAGTTGACCAGACTGCTGGCTCTCTCATTGTCATTCGTTTTCGGTGAAAGGAAGGGGGCTGAGTAGACAGGAGCATTTTTGGAAGACCTTCTTGATTAAAGGTGGCCAGGAAGAGCTCATGCGGACTACTGTGAGCTCACCTATTTCAGCATCAACCAACCATGATTATGTGTGTGAAGGAATCATGAAAAGCATTCAACTGACATTCCAAAAGCTCTTTGCCAATTTTAGATCAGTTCAAGTTTTATTACCACTAAACCATGGTAAACCATGGTGTTTACCCATTATTTTTCACCATTCCAGCTTGGGACTCATGAAATTGGCCAAAACGCCTTGGTCGAACGGGGGGTAGATGTACTGTATCTGGGCGATGACCCCCCAGTGGTTGGTCACTAGGGCCTGTGCCCGGGCCTAGGGGCTTGCATGCCAAACACTCAGTTTCCGTAATAACTATATTAAATTGCACTAATATTGATATCATATGATTATATACATATACACACACACATATATATATATATGCAGAGTATACATAGAATTATGTAACCGATAGATAGATAGATAGATAGATAAATAGATAGATAGATAGACAGATAGATTAGATAGATAGATATAATAGATTAGATTAGATTAGATTGGATTGGATTAGATTAGATAGATAGATAGATAGTAATATAGATAAGATAGATAAAATAGATAAGATAGATAAGATAGATAAGATAGATAAGATAGATGATATAGATGAGATAGATGAGATAGATGAGATAGATAAGATAGATAAAACTAGATAAGATAGATAAATATAGATAAGACATATAGATAGATAGATATATAGATAGATAGATAGATCGATAGATAGATAGATCGATAGATAGATAGATAGATAAGATAGATAAGATAAGATAGATAAGATAGATAAGATAGATAAGATAGATAAGATAGATAAGATAGATAAGATTGATAAGATGGATAAGATAGATAAGATAGATAGATAGATAGATAGATGGATGGATGGATGGATGGATAGATAGATAGATAGATTAGATAGATTAGATAGATTAGATAGATTAGATAGATTAGATATATTAGATATATTAGATAGATTAGATAGATAGATAGATAGATAGATAGATAGATAGATAGCTAGATAGATAGATAGATAGATAGATAAGATAGATAGACAGATAGATAGAGAGATAGACAGATAGATAGATAGATAGATAGATAGATAGATAGATAGATAGATAGATAGATAGATTAGATAGATAGATATAATAGATTAGATTAGATTAGATTGGATTAGATTGGATTAGGTTAGATAGATAGATAGATAGATAGATAGTAAGATAGTAAGATAGTAAGATAGATAAGATAAGATAGATAAGATAGATAAGATAGATAAGATAGATAAGATAGATAGATAGATAGATAGATAGATAGCTAGATAGAGAGATAGATAGATAGATAGATAGATCCATAGATGGATAGATATAATAGATTAGATTAGATTAGATTGGAATAGATTAGATAGATAGATAGATATAATAGATTAGATTAGATTAGATTAGGTTAGATTAGATTGGAATAGATTAGATAGATAGATAGATAGATAGATAAGATAGATAAGATAGATAAGATAGATAAGATAGATAAGATAGATAAGATAGATAAGATAGATAAGATAGATAAGATAGATAAGATAGATAAGATAGATAAGATAGATAAGATAGATAAGATAGATAGACAGATAGATAGAATAGATTAGAATCGATTAGATTATATAAGATAGATAGTAAGATAGATAAGATAAGACAAGATCAGATAGATCAGATAGATGAGATAGATGAGATAAGATAAGATAAGATAGATAGATAGATAGCTAGATGGATAGATAGATCCATAGATAGATATATAGATAGATAGATCCATAGATGGATAGATAGATAGATATAGAGATAGAGATAGATAGGTAGGTAGATAGACAGATAGATAGATAGATAGATCCATAGATGGACAGATAGATAGATATAGAGATAGAGATAGAGATAGATATAGAGATAGATAGGTAGGTAGGTAGGTAGGTACATAGATAGATAGACAGATAGACAGATAGACAGATAGATAGCTGGATAGGTAGATAGATAGATAGTAAGATAGTAAGATAGTAAGATAGACAGATAGATAAGATAGATAAGATAGATAATATAGATGAGATAGATGAGATTGACAAGATCGATGGGATCGATGAGATAGATAAGATAGATAAGATAGATAAGAAATGTAAGATATATAAGATAGATAAGACAGAAAGGAAAAGATAAGCTAAGATAAGAATAGATAGATAGATAGATAGATAGGTAGATAGATAGATAGAAAGAACGATAGATAGATAGATAAATAGATCCATAGATGGATAGATAGATAGATAGATAGATAGATATAGAGATAGATATAGAGATAGATATAGAGATAGGTAGGTAGGTAGGTAGATAGATAGATAGATAGATAGATCTTAGATAGATAGATAGATAGATAGATAGATAGATAAGATAGATAAGACAGATAAGATAGAATGGATAGATAGATAAATAGATAGATTAGATTTGATTAGATTGGATTAGATTTGATTAGATTGGATTGGATTAGATTGGATTAGATTGGATTAGATTGGATTAGAGTAGATAGATTAGATTGGATTAGATTGGATTGGATTAGATTAGATTAGATAGATAGATAGACGACAGTTAGATAGATAGATATTATATGATATATTTTATTTCTTCGACGGGTATGATTTTGATTTACAAAAAACACATTAGAAGAGGAATGCCCATTAATATTGCAGAAGCGAAGTTCGAAAGCTATATCAATATCCCCATGCGCCAAGGAATCACGATGGAAAACTGTCCGCAGAGGAGCTTCGGAGGTGGCGAGGCGGGCCCTGCAATTTGCTGCAGATGGGGTTCAAGCCAGTTTAAAAACCATCCAAGACCATTAAAACAATAGCAAAAAACATTAAGAACCAACCATTCAACACATCTCAATACCATTCCAAACCATTTTTTTCCGCACTAGGCATGAAATTCAGATTTTTTTTTGATTCTCTAGGACCTGCCAGGGAAACCCCGTGACGCCAGGTGCCACCTTGGGTGCTGCGACCGTGGTTTGATGCCCGCTGAGCGACCGATGGTGGACCGATGTTGTTTCACCAACGATGTCATCACGGTGCGAAAGAGTTGGCACAACGAGGATGCGCTTGAGTTTTTTCTGGAGCAAGTCCCATCGCATCATTGCCCTTATGTGAAGCACCCCGATTGCATGGCCCCAAATGAGTGCAATTCCTCTACTAGATCTGGATTTCTGGGGGTGCTTCATTTGAACCTTTAGAGATGGGATTATTCTATTGGAGTAGATTTCTATTGGGTCACGTGGCAAACATTGGCAAATTCATTTTTTTTAACAATCCCCAACTTTGTGCCAACATGTAAAAACCATCCCCCAAAGGTTGGTTTCTGGCAGTGAGCTTCCCAGATCACATGGCAGAAAGCTGCGGCACCTGGCCGTTTTGGTTCAGCTGACGATGTGAAAGCTGCCAGAGTTCTGCCGCTTCCCCAGTGCACATGCTTTGAGATGGGACTGCGATTGAAGCTACCTACCGCTGCAGCAATCAGTAAGTTAATCACTATTCAGCAGCATTGAGTAACAATACATGTTGAGAACCAAATAGACCAAGTGTTGCAACTCACAGCGCTAAGCTTGCAGCGGTTTCGCTACCATAGCATCCATGGCGTTGGTTTGATTCCTCTCCTCACCCAAGGTGACACCTTCCAAAGTGGAGGCGACAGAGGGTCAAGCCTGGAAACATTTGGGTTGTTTTCTCCAGACATTCGGTGATTTCAGTCAGTCATGATTGAACAATGATTGATGCAAACCACTACATCCTCCGCAGCTTTGGTTCAATTTGGGGCTCCCCCCAAAACAGACAGCCCCCCGACACCGATCGACTGCTGATTCGATGCCCGACCTGGTGGCCAAAAAGGTGGGTGGCAAAGTGCTGATGGTCTCTTCTCTGGATGAAAACCATCCAGGGGACAACATGATCGATGGCAGGGAGGACAGCTACTGGATTTCCACTGGCCTCTATCCCCAGGAGATCTTGTTGCAACTCAGTCAGAGGTCTCAAGTGTCCAACGTGAAGATTTCTGCGACCAATGTGAGAGGCATTAGAATCTCGGCTTTCTCTGACCTTTAGAAGCACCGTGCCAGTGCCGTTTGCCTAATATACCTTCCGCAAACCGTTGTTGAACTAACAAGCCCAATTGGTGAATTCCAGGTGGGAACAACATGGAACAACCATCAAGCTCACTCTGCAGATATTAATTGGAGGTTCTTTCAACTGGTAAAGGTCCAGAATGGAGTCCCGGAGCATTGTGGACCTTGAACCGCTGAACATGTTCGGCCTAACCCAATCAGTTGGAGCATCTCCTAACACGATGACAGAGACTGTGGTTGATAAATGTTGATAAAACATAATAAAACCATATAAAACCTGATTTAAAAACAACAGATTATATATATATACACAACATTATACTTGCATTGCACACCCGGATCTTTATTCACCAATACCCGTTTGGAGCCATCCATCCCATCCCATCTTGGCCGAGGAATAGAAGGCTGTGCCGAGGAGGACCCCGTGAACTTCCATCCCTTGGCCGAGGACGCCTTGGAAGAAGTGCCACAGCGCTTGCAGGTGAAGGATATCCCATGCCATAGCAATGAGATGCTCGGCAGGGGCTTATTGGTGCTTGAAACATGTTGAAACACCTTGCTTGGGGTAAAGCCATTGGGAGAAATATTAGGACAAATATGGACCAATTGTTCCCCAAAAAGGTGGAATATCGTTGAAAATCTCACTATAATGATAATGATAATGATAATCTACATTGTCGAATATTGTCGATGTTTCTGGGGATTGCTAGAATGCCATGGGGATATAACGGGTAAATGAGTAATATAACCACTACTGGTACACTCTCGTCAGTGGTTTCAATGTTTTATTCATTCTCCACTTGTGGGATGATGACGGGCTGAAACCAGCCAGGATGGCATATATCAAGATCATGATCCTCTCGGGCTACCACGACTTTTGTACAGTTCACCGGGTAATTGTCGAATGAAGAGATCAAGGTCCAGGTTGAAATATTGAAACCTGAGACGCTGGTGCGACAGCGCGTGACGTGTCACGTAGCCGGCTCAACTTGCTGGAATTCATTGTGAAACAGAAGCTGAGTGAAAAAAGGGATGTCCTGTGCTGCCATCGGCGGATTCATCCACTGCAATCATCCATCATCCACTGATCATCCATTGATCATCCACTGCAATCATCCATTAATCACCCATGAATCATTCAATCATCCATCATTGCCGGTGCTTGGATCTGTGCTTCCTTCCAGGCGAGTCGGGAGACCTGCTGTGCTCTGGCATTCTGTACTGCTAAATTCCCTTGTAGGATCTGCGGCCCCTGCTAGAGCAGACCGAGTTAAAGATGTCCATAGTGCTTCAAGATGCTTCAAGGTCTGCTCTAGGCATTTCACAGTGGATGGGCTGCTAGTTTTGCCAGTGACTTTTGGATACTTTTGGAAGCCTGGTCCTCCATGACAAAAAGGTCTTGATGCTGGCTGCAGGGTGCAGGTCTATCGTTGGCATGCCGTGTTCATCCTGGATCAGTTCATTCAACTTATGACATGCACTTGATGCTTTAGTGAAACTTTAGTGATCTTCAGTGAACATGTGCAAGATTGTGCATAATTTTGGATTTCGCCGCTTTCAAGCACGCTTTGAGGCTGCATCCTTTCAGTCTGTGTCACACTGTATTCTGTCAGCTTGCTGCGACCACTGGAGGTTTTCCGATCTCAAACCTTCCCAAAGTGCATAGCCAAGCCAGTTGTAATTACCACAAATCAGATGACAATAGAACCTTTGCCCGAACCTGGGCATTCTATCACACCACCCGATCTTTGTGGGTTTTAATTTTCACCGTCGAAAAGTTCTCACGGCTTTGGCCGTGGAGGACCATTCAGCCATCGTGGCAGATGTCGCATGTCGGGCGTCAAATCCTCAGACTATGCTGAACGCCCGACCCAGCGATGGAAGGAGCTCGCTTGGTGATGCTTTCCCCCATGATCCCCATGGGATATATGACCGGTAGATCCTGATTTGCAGGAGATTTTGGGATATGCCAGAATTAGCACATGAATTTATCCTGCAGTCAATGATCATCAGTTTTCAATAGTTTTCACATGTTTTCACCTATTGGCCCTGTGGAATTTGTGCAGCCAACTGCTTTCTGAATCAGAACAGAAAACAAGTGCACAAATTCGAAAAGACCTGAAAAGACATTGCCATGAAGAAGTGGCAACACAAGTGAGACATGACTAGCCAATCAGCAGACGGAAATCAGCCCATGTGGCCTTTGTTTCATAAATGCGAAAGCTTCACCTGTACTTTTACCTCTGCAAAGTTGCAAGAGTGGCCTTCGAAGTGCGGAACCCAGCCATCGTAGCTTCCATACAGCCAGCTGTCCATCCATGCCGCCACCTTGCCATGTGGCGCCGCCATTGGCTCTGCATCTTGCTATGCCAGGGGCTCTTCAACTGCAAAAAGAATGAACCAAGAAAGATAGGGACATGAACTTGAAGGCAGAAGGAGATGTGTTTGATTTCTGGGAGAAGTATGGAAAGTCAAGGTCAAGTCAGGTCCTTCATATCACAATCCAAGGACTTGTGTCCCGTTAATCATCGCATTGGTTGAGAGAGAGAGAGTTCCAAGTGCTCGAAACCTGGCTTTGATCTCCAAAGATTTTTTGGTGAATTCCAACCATTTCATCACTTTTCAATACTTTTCATCTCCCCTCCTGGCACATTGTTTCACCAGGTTCAGTAGTGCTCGGGATGATTGGCGGCCAGAGAGTGAAGGCGAACGCAGTGGCCGGAAGGCTTGCGAGCTCCGGTTCTTCCAGACCGACTTCGCGGCGGAGAATTTTCAGCTGCTTGGAGTTCGACGCTGATGTTTGGGGAATGGGCAAGGGACACTGGTTTGGAAATGTCTGGAAGACATATTAGTTCTGTCTCGGGATGTCTCGGGCGAGCTTTGGCTGCAGTTGCTTAGGAGCAAATGGCTCAACCAGAAGAACAAGCTGGTGGGAAATCCGAGTCATTCCTACCGGAGAGTGATCACTGATGTCCGAGAGAGCTCAGACTGGGTATTGCATGCCACAGGAACTCAAACTGTGTGGAAAACATGGTAAGACAATGTAAACCTCTTCAAAACAGCAGGAGTCCTTCCATTCTCTTCTGGGGCATTTATGACTACACTGCAGGCCTTCATCCAGTGCCTTTACCATTTACGCACCCGCTGGCGGCATCGGGAGAAAGAAATCTTTGCGGGTGGCATTCACTACCCAACGCTGGTTACGGCACACCACACGTGGCCACCGGTGTCAACCAGCGGGGCCAAGCTATGCTGGTTGGACCAACTGGGTGGGAGGCTCAGTCAGCAGCATGGATGGATGAGAGGCTCAGTCAGCAGCATGGATGATGCATGGATGGATGGGCATTTCATGGCATTTCTCTTCGAGGACTAGTTGCTCAAGCTGCTGGCTGAGGTGTCCATCGCAACAGCATCGAGCCCAGTGACTGCTGCGACCAGAGGTACGGGCCAAAGGGTCGCCCTGACTGCTGGGACGAATACTTCACCTACGAGTTGTGCTGCGTTGGGGTCCAGAGCTTAGACAGTCGGGAAGTGGTGACCGGGTGACCACCATGGCCTCAGAAAATTTCACGAATCCAATTGATTTCGATCTGACAGGAAACCTAAAAATCCTAAAAGTCTTTGAAACATTTTATTTCGATCAGTTTGACAGGAAACCATAGGAAACCTCAAAGTCTTTGAAACCCCAGGCCCACTTTCAGATGTTCCCCCTACAAAACCTCCAGATGACTGGGGCACAGCTGTTGTGAACTTGTCTTGGGCTAAGGACGTGAACTTGGCCGAGATGCCGCACTACTTCGTGGCGCCGGCCTTCGACATCAACGTGGGCAACGCGGTGCGACAGCTGGGAACCTTCGACCTGGGACAGTCCTATGCCCTGCAGACGCTCTGCCGTAGCGGCGATGTGGTCATTGATGTAGGTGCTCTGACAGGATTCACAGAGGATCAGAAGCAATAAATCCTACTACTCATAATTACTCAACTCATATACTAATTATAATTATGATGTAATGTATTATCATTTATCATTGTATATAATGTTATATACATATAATATATTATGATTATATAATTATTATACTGTGACTTTCCCAGAACAATTGGTATATCTTGAGGTGAAATCCCCCATGAGCCCTCTCCAGGTGCCAATGTGGGTGGCTTCACCGTGCCCCTGGCGGAACGTGTGGGGCCTGAGGGTGAGGTGCACGCCTTTGAGCCATTCCGCAAGGCAGGATTTGCCATCCAAAACTGTGAGCAAACACCCTGAAAATCCTTGACAATCTATACATATAAAAATATATATATATATATACATGAAATGATGAGACATGTGGATTGTACCATAGAGAAGAAGGGACACATGAGGATCTTATTGGATTTTATCTACTATCTATATCTATCTATCAAGTTTGCTTCCAATGCTTCAAAAAAGGAGAGTTACTCCCAATATATGCCTTTTTACGGTGCAGATGATATTAAAAACAGCGCGTTTGAGGTGCAGTAGCTACTGGACACAGGTGGATTCCACAAACATCCACAAACTGTATCGCTGGAGCACTGTGCACCTGCCTTGGCCCCTGAGTCTTGTTTGGGATTGACAGCTCTTTCCAGCAGGTGTTTCAGCACCTGAATGCCAATGCATCTTGGTTGCAGGTGGGAACTGCCCGAGACCTTCAAACATATCCAAAGGTTCCTACCAGATCAGCGAATATTTTGAGAGTGAGATGGGGCGATAGCGGGTTGAGTTCTGAGGTTGCATTGAATGGCCTCTCAAACGTGTACACCTACAATGTGGCGCTTGGAACTGCAGAAGAAAAAGTCTTGGCATATGCACATTGGCTGCAGTTGGAGGGTAGGGTTTGGATCCAATGCAGTCAGGGCTTGAGAAAGGTCGCCCTGCTAGTTGCCAAGGCATATATATATATATCTATATCTATATATATATATGGCCAGTTCCCATGCAGTTATGTTATGTCATGTCAGTCTCCCTTTGTTGCTCCTACGCAACGGGGGTGATGGACCATGCTGACAGCCCGGGACTCCAGGTACCCGATCTGACCAACTTCAACTTCCCGTCTGCGATTCGCGTCCTGGATCAGTTTGGACCGGAGGCTGCCGTCTCTGAAGCCAACCTGCGTTATGAGGAGATTTTGATGTTGCGAGAAAAAATCAACGGAAGAAAGGCAGTAACAGTATAACATGGTACAACCAGCATCTAAAAACAATGGATTGTCCTCAGGTTTACCAAAGAAACACCAATTGGAAGTGCTAACTGGAAGTGCAAACTGGAAGCGTTACTGCATAGTTTAGTTGAGGATGTGTATCTGCATGAACAGTCACGTCTCGAGCCTTGCAGGAGCGACAAGAGACTCTTACTGTGCGTCGGCTGGATGACTTCTCGTTCAGCCGCAGGGTTCAGCTGATCAAGATTGATGTTGAGTTTATGGAACTGCAGGCACCCAAAATTTATCAAAAAATGAGGGAGTATTGTATTTTTTGTTTTCTGTGTTGGCCATCCCAATTGCTGCGGTACCCCCAAGTTTGACCCCTGCCAGAGTTGAGTTGTGCAGAATTCTCGGGAAAATCAGCACTGTGACCGTCACCCCGGATGGACGGCAACGTGACATCTACTGTGATCAGGTGGTCCTTGGCGCAAAGAGCACCATCCTGCAGAACAAACCATTGATCTGGATGGAGAACGAAGCCTACTTTGATGATCCCCCAAATCGTACTTTCGTGGAATCTCGGCCAAGAAGCCATGCCAACAAAACAGCCAAAAAACCGCCGACATGAAGCAGGGTTGGATCCGTGAAAACATGCTGCATCATGCTATGTTTGCAGTGATCTGCTATTCTGTAGTAGTTTCCTTCAATCCTTTTCTATGGAGAAGCAGCACTGCAAGAAACAGCTTTCAGTGATGTCTTGCGGGAAAGTACATGGGTCTGCAGATGGGGTGGAACTGGGCAGGCCAAAACATCATCAAACATGTCAACTGTTCATTCCGATGATTTGAAACATCACTTTCCCCATTCAAAATGGCACGTCCTCCCGTTCAAAAGACCAGACTGCAGCGAGGACACCATGCATCGAGATCTTCGGTATGTTTGCACTGCTGTTGCCAGGCGGGTGCTGTCTTATCTGCACAGTTGTGGTCTGGACCAGAAGCTCAAACCTTCAAGATATTTCAAGATCCTTCCAGAATCAATGGTATATATCGTTAAATTATATAATATGTCATATTATATCATCAATGGTCCCTTCACATCAATTTGACCAATACTTGACACATGCGCTGACCATGATTTTGTGGTCTCTCTTCGCCAGGCTGGAGCTGTTCTGCGCTCCGGGAAAAGAAGCGCCCAACGGGGGGCTGGTGCAAGATGACGGTTTGATCCCTGCTGGCTTCCGACGTGTCTTCAGTTCCTTGGAAAGTCCATTCTCCTCCATTGGTCCATAGTCAATCATAGTGATGGGGACCCCGATGACTTCGGAAATACCATGAAATACCCATTATGTATATAATATACATAATATATATATATATATATATATATGTGTGTGTGTAACATCTGAACAGATGTAAAACTTCTTCTTTTCTAATACTTTTATGTTTGCAGGGGGCATGCGGCCATCATGCAAACGCATGCCAACGAAGCTATGCATGATGGTGGAAGCCGGGGCTGATTACCCTGGTGTACCTGCATTGTTGTGATCACCTGTTGTTCAGGGTTTGTTTCCATTCCATTGTCCATGTCTGCTGATGGGAAGAGGCCCAACCCCAGAACCTCAATGTCAATTTATTTATTTATTTATTTCTTCACGGTTGCCACAATCTGTATTTTCGCCGAAACCATATCACGGTTTTGCTGCATCAGAACCTTCCTCAGAGCAAGGACGTAGAAAGCACCTTTGTAATATTTTGTTTACATGATCGCCGACACCATCGTCGCCGACAGTTATTTATTGGCTAATCGTCGCCGAGACATCGCCGATGGTATTATTGCTGGTTTATTCATTCTTTTTGATGTCGATTCTGAACCCGATGACCATTCTGAAGTACTTCTATTATTCATAGGATGCATCGTTAATTTCAGTGTTTCGTATCTAATCTGCATGTTTCAGGATTCAGTTCCTACCGGATCATATAATGATCCATTCTTGTCTAGTGTGATTTCCATGGTGGCTCCGACATGGTGCCATGGAGCCATTTGAGGCAACCCTTTTCAGGGTGAGTGATGACAGTCTTGAATTCTGAATTCACACATTTTAACCTAGTAATTCGTTTAAGTAAAGTGGAACAGTTGGCCTTTCCATTCTGCACCATTTTGAGATGTCCTGCGGTCTCAGCTGTCCCTTGAGATCCTTCGATACCGCTACTCTACTGGGTGAAGCCGTGCCAAACTGCAGAAACTCCTGTTTATTTCCGCAACCTAAGCTTGTGACAAGCAACATGCTCCATGTATGACAAGGCAACAGGCATGTCCTTTTCCTGCAGGTGTGGTCTCTTTGGTTTCTGGTGAGGTGAAACATATTGTGCATCTAATTCGTTGGAACTTGAAAGCCGTTTATGCCCTTGTGGCTGACTGGAACACGGGCCTGTTGTGGCACAATTGCACGAACAGTAGGTATAGGAACTGAGTCCTGCGTGTGATTTTTCATTTTTTTACTTGAGCTATGTTTCCGTGGACTACTCCTCCGACGTCTTGGCCCGCTCCACCGCAGCCTTCGACTGCTCCTTCGACGTGGCCACAATCAACGCCGAGTGCACATTTATTTGGACATCCTTCGCCATTGCATCCTACATGGTCCTCGTCCTCTTCGATCATGCCGCCTGCCTCCGCCACACCGTCTTTGTCATTCGCATCACTGTCCACAGCTCCTCATGCGGTACCACCTCCCCACCTTGTGCCTACAATGACTACACCCATGGTCCCTGAAACCACCATGGTGCACGCCGCTCCACCGGCTTTCACTACTCCCACGGCACCCACCGCTCCAACTACATGGCACCCGGCTCCAGCTCCATCGACTACATCGACTACTCCACCGACACCATTGCAGAGCTCTCCGTGCCCACCTCGCACCCTTCACCCTCCACCATTGACTGAATTACCTACGTTTCCTCCTGATGAACCTCAACAACCTGCAGTCAAGGCCGCCCCAAAGCTTCGCTCTGACAAGAAACCTGACAAACCACGCCGTGCAGCTCCAAAAGCCTCACCTCCTGTTACACCACCGGCACCAACGCCAACACCGTCTCCGCCCACCAGAACTTGCAGCGCTGGGTTCCACCACACAACAACTTGCTGAATCGGTTCGTCTTATCCATGCTCAACAACAGATGATCCTGGACTCCCAACGCGCTCAAGAACAACGTCAACAACTCCTTCACCATGATGTACCTACAACCGGCCCCACACCGCCCACACCTTCACCTACATCGGCACTACCCACAACCATGCCTCCACCTGCACCGAAAGCGCGACCCACTGAACCTGAAGCTCCGGACCATCGTATTGTCTCTGCTCCAGCCGCTCCTCTTCCTCGCCATTCACACGCTCCAACATCGCCATCACGCCGACCACGATCCAGGACTCGAAGATCACGCTCCCACCGACCTTCCTCACAACCGCCTCATCGTCGACATTCACCTCACCGTACTGTTCGACCTCGCTCTCCCCTTCCTCGATTTCGGTCTTCGACCAAACACGACAAGGACCGCCGAACACCTTCTCCATACAGAAGAAGATCACCGCCAAGACGACGATCTCCAGCGGCTCCTCGACGTCATCGATCTCACCCCAGACCACGCTCCAGAACGCCTCGTCGTCATTCTCGAGGCCGCGAAGTCGTATTACGACCAGCTACACGCCCATCCAATCCAGCCTTCATCCCCACACCCGATGCTGATGACACCTGGGGCGAATGGAACAACAGCCACTACCCCGACGGTCCCGACGACCACCATCACAACACCACTCGACCCAATTCTCCCGCCGGACCACCACCATCTGCATCATCCACCAACCCACCGTCACACCCAGCAGCACCACTTGGAGCCGTTGCCTTTCGTGATTTCGTGTCCCTGACGGTGACAGCGAAAACTCAGATGCAGCCGAAGCTTTTTCAATCTCAAAATTTGACAAGAATGACATCGACCTCAGCGAAATGGTTGAGGCGGCCAATGATCCACTTCGGGTACGATGCCTGACCGAGCTTGACCCAAACTATACAGTACCCCTCCGCACATCATTGAACCAATCCAACAAGCTCCTCTACAATCACTTCGTTGACGAGATGTTCAATCAGTTGGCTCAACCATATCGCACCGTCAACAACCAACTTATTTTCATCAAAGCAAGTCAAGCCACCGTCAAGAATATTGCCAGGGCCTTTGCACAATCCAGATTACTTGACATCGAGCTGGCAAAGCAAACCAAAGCATTCTATATCGAGCCAGAGAACCTGCTGACCATCACGGTTCCAACGGGGTTGCCCAAGAAACCGATCTATCGTGGCGAACACGCGGGCACCTACCTGATCTACCACAAAACGAGTTGGGAAACAGTTGCCAAGATCCTTGCTGAAGATTGCATTCGCCGGCAACTTGGACCAAAAACGAGGCAGGCTACCCGACTCAATACCCATGTTACGGGTTTTTCGGCATGTCCTCTGAGATTCCTGACATCGATGACCTCCCTGGCTATGCTGTCAAGTTATGTACATCCCAGCTCTACCGTATAGGGAAAGGACAAAACCCATCTGGCCTATTGGCCATTTGTCGCTCCCCCAAATGCATGCGGGCCCTATCTGGAGGAAATGACCAAATTCAACGCTTGTGCAACCTACAGGGCATCTCCAAGGGCAAAGGCAATGCAACGGCTATGGACTCCAGTGCTGCATCAATTTGCTACGTTGCCTCTACTCACTCGGTTTTCCCAGGATTGATCACACACTCGGCAGCGGAAGCGAACCCACCCACTGCCGCAGCACCAAATGAACCTCCGGACAACACACCAGCTGATCATGAACCTCCAGCACGACCTGACCCTGCCGCTGATGCACCTGCACCTTCAGATCCACCACCAGACGACTCTCGAGCGACAACCAGCCACCACGAGACCACCGAACGTACCGCACCAGATCGTGCTCGCCGACATTGGAACGACAACCCTTCGTGGGACAGTTCAACATATACCCGTCGAGACCGCCGTTCATCCTATCGTGAAGGCCACTCTCGAGATCAACACCGCGACGGCCAAGCTCGATCCCGCACCTCGACATACAACTACTCCAGATCTCGCTGGTAAGCACTTCATCCCTGAGGAGCACCTGGCAAACTGTGGACTACTCCATGACTGCGACCCAGTGAGCCTAGTGGCCTGACCGATCCTTTTGGAGTAACAATGCTTCTCCCGACATTCGGTATGTACGCCACTTCTTCCTTCAAAAGATATGTGAATCGCTGCCTGCGCACCGTATTTGTTTCGTGTTTCGGTTTCCACCTCATGTCTCACACCTTCGGCCGAGCGTATCATGTTTCACACGTTTCAGATCGTATGACATCTTCGTATCACCTTTTCACCCTACCGCAGTTTTCAGTTGGCTGACCGCGCTTATTTCGACTTATCATCTCGTGGCTCCTGGCTACATCATGGCGTCCCAGGATTTGATCTCCCAGTTCACCCCTGACCTGAATGCCATTCCTCCTTCCCAACCTGATCGCTCACGCACACCTCCTCGACCTCAACATGGCTGGCATCAAACAGTACCTATGTTTCGTGGCCCGATGCACTTTGCAATGACGACCCCTCGACCGTTTTGGAATCCTGCTGGTCTACCGCCTCCACCACCGACATCTACATCATTCTCAACGCGCCCATCATGGACTCCACCCACATCACCTTTCCCACCTACACCGCCTACGTTCGCCCCACAACCTCCCGCCAACGCCAATTTTGCACCTCAACGACACCCTTTCACACCGAGATCGCCGAGACCTATGTCATCTCCGGGCGGAAGCTCTGCTGTCAATGAGGGATACACTTGTCGGCCAATTGAAATCCCACCGGTTGACCAATGGAAACCTGACGTCGACTTCCACGACTCCAACAAGATCAATGGGTTGGATTTCCCCTCCAGAATCCGCCAAAGCCGATTTTCCAGTTACAAAGACATTGAAGGTATGGATCCTTTACAAGTCCCACTCTGGAAGTTCTTGTACCAGGGCTTACACAACACCTGGCTCCGCCGTGTTGCATACGGACGCGAAACCTTCGTCCTTCCCTTTGACAACATAGGCACTACAGTATTTGTGGCTGAATTGGTATCGCAACTACGCACCCGCAATGTGGATTTGGACAAATTGGCTACCTTTCGCTCTCGTTCAGCTGGTCAATGTGTGAATCAAAAGGAAGCC